CCCCTTCCCATTTTTATTTTTAAATTTTAATTCTAGTTCAAATTTTTAAGAACATTTTTTAAATTTTGATAACCAAATACTGCTTTATAAAAATTCATTGTTTCATGATCCAATTATTGTAAATAAAGCTATGAGTTTAGGAATACTGATATTGTAGACTGCAGTCTTTAATATTGGTTTTCGATGTACATTTTTTCATAAATTTAATTTATTTTCTTTCTTAAAATTAATTTGAATGCGGGCCCCCATGTCCCCATTCAAATTTTTATTTTACAAATTAAACTCTCATTCAATTTTTTAAGAACATTTATTAAATTTTGATTAACATAATCTGCATTATAAAAATTCATTTTTTCATGACTTAACTATTGTAAACAAAGCTTTGAGTTTAGGAATACTGATATTGTAGACTGCAGTCTTTAATATTTCTTTTTGATGTACATTTTTTCATAAATTTATTTTATTTTCATTCTTAAGATTTATTTGCCTGCTTGCGCCCATGTCCCCCTTCCCATTTTTAATTTTAAATATGAATTCTTTCACATTTTTTTATAATCTTTTTTTTTTTTGATTCTTAAAATTAATTTGCCTGCGGGCGCCCATATCCCCCTTCCCATTTTTATTTTTAAATTTGAATTCTATCACTTTTTTTTATAAATTTATTTTGTTTTCATTCTTAAAATTAATTTGCCTGCGGGCGCCCATGTACCCCTTCCCATTTTTATTTTTAAATTTCAATTCTATCACTTTTTTTTATAAATTTATTTTATTTTCATTCCTAAAATTCATTTGCTTGCGGGCACCCATGTCCCCCTTCCCATTTTTATTTTTAAATTTTAATTATAGGACAAATTTTTGAGAACATTTATTAAATTTTGATAACCATAAACTGCATTATAAAAATTCATTGTTTCATGATCTAATTATTGTAAATAAAGCTATGAGTTTAGGAATATAGATATTGTAGACTGCTGATTTTAATATTTGTTTTCAATGTATATTTTTTCATAAATGTATTTTATTTTCATTCTTAAAATTCATTGACCGAGAGTGTCCGCTATTCAGAGGTTTCACTGTATAATATTATTATGAAAATACAATTTTTTTACTGAAATCATTTGACAATTTAAATTTTAAAGTATTAATTATCAAAAAAATAAATTGACAATAAAAATGGATATTTCAGTTTTCGTATAAACGAATTTTTTATCGAAGATAATTATTTAGATAAAATGCAACTATTTATCTAGATAAGTCTCAACACTGGTAATTTTACTCTAAAAGCGAAAAATATGTCAAAAAGTTGACAAAATCCAAAATTTAAGTATTTTTTCTTCAAATGTTACATAATTAATATAAGACGTTTTCTTAGGCCGGAGATGGTGAACCTATGCACGTGTCACAGAGTGACACGCTCACACTATTTTAGTGACACACGAATATGTACGTTTGATAATATTAAAGTTTTTGAAAAAAAAATTGTAGGGTTATCGAACTAGTTGACACGTAGGAAAAACAAAATCCTACCAAAATTTTTATTTGACACGCTGTTACGAAAAGGTTCGCCATCCCTGTCTTAGGCCATCATGCCTATACTCTGTATAATTGGTAATGATTTATCAACATGCTATTATTTATGCTTGGTTCATTTATTGTTAAATAGTAAAATTAAATTTGGATCAAAATCACATTGAAACTGTTAATTCAAATATTGGTGGCAGAGTAATAATAGTAGACTGTAGCAAGCTAGATGAGGAACAGAACTAATAAAATTAGATTCAGATAATTTATGTGTTGATGTGCAACCTAAGGTTTGTGGTCAAGTGGTCCAGTTACTGGTAAAATTACATGTTTACCATTCAAAGATTTGTGTAAATAGAATATTGCAGAATTGTTATTTTTAAATAGGGTTTAGACGGTTTATTAATAAGATGTGGAAGTAATGTGAACATAAAAAAAAAAAAAAAATGAATATGATAAAAGACAGTCTTGATTTTTATTTTCATGTTACGTTACCTTAATTTAAAGAAAAAAAATACAAAAATAATTCACTTAATTAATTAAAATACAAAGTATTTCATTTGGAGTTTTAAAAAATAAAAATTAAACCAACGATTAAAACTGGAGGAATATTATAATAAATTAAACAAATGTATAGTTTCCAAATTATTGTTTGGCATTTGAGGAGTCATCAAGTTTAGGAACCTTGTTTGGAGCTGCATCTGCTGTTTCCTCTTGTTTAGGTCTTTTGCGTACCAAATGGCCAATGTTGGATGCCTGTTTGGATGTTGACGATGCTTCACCATTTGTTGTAGCTACGTTACAAGCACCCACAGCTGCCAACAATGCACTGACAGCAGCCTTTTTACGTTCTTTGATATCTACAATTTTTTCTTGTATTTCGGGAATAATAGATTTAACTTCGGCGATTTCTGCCTGGGTTGTTTCATTATCATTGTCCATACTTTCCAAGGTTTTAATTTTTTGATTCAAAACAGCAGCTGCTTCAGTTAGCAGCTCAATTGCTTGTTCACCGCTTCCACCCAATTCCTGCGCTATGCCCAATTGAAATAATGTTTCAGCAATGATACGACTGTCCTCTGGTAATAATAACCTATAAAAACGTAACTTATTAATTCAAATTTCTTATAATTTAAAAAAAAAATACAGAACAATAACTCACCTTCGGATTTCCAAGGATTCAGTCATATCTTGAATAGCTGTTTCAAATTTTTCATCTTCAATGCTTACTTCTCCACATTTCATTAATACTTCAGCTAGTTTGAGTTTTGATTCTTCAGTATCTTTGTTTTTATAAATCACTTTTGCCAAGTCAAGCATTTCCCAAGCTATCTGTAAATCATTTACATCATCTTCCCCAACATCTTCTTCATCTGGTTTTTCTGCTTCATCAACAGAAACCTCTTCTTTTTCAGTGGATTTTTCTTCAATTTCATCAACAGACATTTCTTCTTTTTCAGTGAATTGTCCTTTAACTTCATTTTCTTCTTCGACAACCGATGTTTCCTCTGGTAGAATTTTTTTGTTTTCAGTTGATTCTTCTTTTTTTTCAATTAATTCTTCATCTTTTTTTTCAGCTGATTTGTCATCAACATTGTCTGTTTCTTTTTCTTTTTCTTCTACTTCAACAGTGGTATTTGATACAGAAGCTTTACTATCCTCATTTGTCACATTACTTGAATCCATTTCTTCAGATGAAGTCTCACCGTCATTTTCTTCCTCATCTTTTTCTTCTAGTCCAACAGGACTTGTTTGATTTTTACTAAGTTCAAGAAGCGCACAACCATAATTGAAATAAGCCTCTGCACACTTTTCATCCAATTCACTATAAATGGTTCCAAATAGACTGCACGCTTCACTTAAGACATCAACAGCTACTTGAAAATCTTTAATTATTAAATGACGTTTACCATCAATTAAAAGTTGATCGGCACGTTTTTTTTGCAACTCAATATCTTCAACAGTAGGTTCCTCGTTTTCTTTGTTTTCACTTTCAGACAATTCTTCTTCGGTGATTTCGGGCTCTTCGGGTTTATCAACTGTTTGAATTTCTTCTGTTTTGGATTCTTGAGAATCGTTTTCTTTTGTCCCTGTTTTTGTATCTATTTTTCCAATAATATCTTTCTCTTTGACATCAATCTCAGCTTCTTTTTGTACTACTTCAGAAGGCATTTTAATCTAAAAAGAAAAATGTACATATTTAGTAACTATTGGTGATATTTGCTTAAATATTATTGTGTGCCTAATTGTTTGTATAAAATTAATATGGGTAAAACAAGTTACATACATACAATAATAATTCAATGTTTAACATATATTATTTTAAAGAATAAATACCAGACAATTATGTCATATATTTTATTAGTAATAATAAATTATTACACATTACATTGTAATACATATGACAGAATTCATTAGTTTTCAGACATTTTATAAAATTTTAAATTTAAGCTTATAAATTATTAAAAATGTAAGGTGTCTTCAATTTAATTACTATTTGTATTTATCTGAAAAATGTAAATGACAATAATCTAAGTTAAGTGGGGGGGGGGAACTGGGGTAAAATAATATAGTAACACGGTTTGTAGAATTTCGATGTTTAAGTTAAAATTTAATAAAGGTTTTTAATAATTCAATGCCATTGTGAATGTCTTTGAAAGTTTGAACTTTTTAATCCAGCATGCACAGTGAACTTTACAAATGTACAGATCAGTATAATACATTTTTATTGTAAACATAATTTTTTATGTTGGCAATCCTTGTAGCCGAGAATGTTTATTAGAGCTTGGCGCCCTTTATACCCCAGTTCCAGATATTATAGATCGGGGTAAACGTGCTTTACTGCTTTCACGCACACTGGAGTCTAACAGTCTACTCAGCACCTAGTTATTATTAATGCTTAGTAGTCGTGTGGTTTTGTAGTTCTAAATTTATCATCAGGAGTACATTTAATATTTGGACTAACACCTACACCAAATACATTTATTATTAATAACGATATTATATTTATTGGTAAGGCCACGCTTTTTTATAAATATAGTTGATTTCATTAAAAAAAAGCTAAAAAACTTTAAAATCTAAACGTACATTTCGAACATTAAAAACCATAAATTATAATACGTGCATATATAATATGTATATATAATTGTCATATATGTGCAGTTATATTTTTTAGTTTAATTAGTTACAAGCATATGACAAAATTAGTTTAACTGTAATATGCAGTAAGCACTTATTTTAATAAGATTTCATCATTATTCATTAATTTTCATTATACAAACATATTTTTAAACCATAATTTTTTTTTTGTAATCGCTTTGCTATAATTATTTTAAAATGAAATGCAAATTAAAATTAAAAAAAAAAAATTATAATTGTTAAGAATGGAGATGATTTTATCAGTGAATTGTGATATTAAATGATAAGTCATTTAAATTTTATATCTTAACTAAAAGTACCAACAGTTTGTATGTTTGATTGAGCAATAATATGAAACTAGACTATTTTTTAAATTATTCCAAGGAATATTTGGTAACCACAAATCCAAACTATATTTGATACAGGTAAAATGGCATATATACCATACAATGAACCTACTGCAAAAAAATGTATCTCTAACCATAGGCGGCGCCAGGAATTTTATCAGGGGGTGCATCGTGCAAGTATACGCTGATTTAGAAATAATGCTTGTGTAATAATAAAAGTAATAATAATAATTGAATATGTAAAAATATTTTTTCAAATTGTATAACGATACAAAGTTATTTTAGTTTTTTTTTCAACGGCTACAATGTAAAGAGGGCTAGTGGCTACGATTAGAAAATCCAAAATTCAATTGAAGAATTTGGAAAAAAACCTAGGCGTTTACCTTTATTAATTAAAAAATATATAATATTATAAGTATAATAATAAATAATAGAAATGATGTAAATAATTAAACAAAATAAAACAGAATCAAAACAATTCAATTTTTTTAATTGAATTTTCAAATGTTTTTGAAAAGCCAGGGGGTGCAACTGCACCCCTTTGCGGTGCCCATGTCCCAAAGACATTAAAATGGACATGAGAAAAGCAGTTTAATCAATGGCACAACATATATAAAACAATTAATATAATGCAGTAGGTAAATCTTTTTCAAATACATAACACAGCACACAACATTATGTACTAAAATATTTACGAATTTTAATCAGTTAACGATGAAGTAAAGAAACGAAATCGATACGGCTGTGTACTATTTTAATTACTATTAAATGTCGTATACCTACATGTAATTGTATATTATTATTAACTATACATAATAAAGAAGTATAACGAGTGACGACCTTGTGATAAAAAAAATAAGAAGTCAACTGTGAATTGTGATACAGTTTAAAATAGAAATACATAATAATGTCTCAGGTGTTTATACTAAATATTAAAGCAGATACCTATAAAAAAATATAGATCAGAGAAATATTTTTTAAATTATGTACAGTGCGAAATACAAGTACCATACGTAAAAATGAATATTATTAATATAATTGATTATTTAATTTGACCGTTTTTACGTTTTCATAAAGTTGCAAAATTAAATATGTCCCCACAGTAAAGTAAACCATACATAAAATAACAATTAAAAATTAATTAAAATATTTTTACTGCTACAGACATAACGTAGTTTATAAAATATAGACCATGGATACTGTGACGGTTCATTATTGGCCAACGGAGGCACAGGGCTGCATATTGATACAACCACTTACACTTTTCCTCACCATCACGCTCATACTTTCATCGTGTACAACATTTTTGTTATGCACATCTGTTTGGACTAATCATTGGGAAAATATGGATTGGGATTTTCAAGAAGTAAGTTTTCAAGAATTCAATAAGAACTAATTCAGAAAAATGTACCCATGATAAAATATAAATATACATTTTTTTAGGCAATTTCGGTTTTGAAAACACAAAATACGTCGTCAAAATGGTTCAATAGCGTAAATACCGAATGGCTAGTTAATGGGAATGCATTAAAAATAACAATTAATGCTGCAAAGCCATCACCGGTAAACAATGGAGATGCCTTATTAGTTTTGGCTACAGCAAATCAATACCACCAAACGGATTTTTACGACATACAACCACTATTACACGAAACAGGAGAAACGACTACAGTTATACTTGTACCAATGTACGGTGGAATTTGGACTTTATGTATCTCTCTAACAGGTACTTTTATCAATTTTAACTATAACACTACGTATACATTTAAAGTATTAAAACAAACGTGAAATTAAACTAAGGACAGGACAAAACGGCGCCACCTAATGGATTTATATACAATCCTTTTTATTATTTCCTAACAAGGTTTTCGAAAGTCGGTGTTTTTAAACAATTTATATTTATTACTCGTTAAACCAAAGGAAATACAATTATACTTAATAGTAAAATAAATCTGGATGGCTATTTTCGTATTATTATCATTACGAGCTAATTTCAATAGAAAATAAAATGCACAATATATTATAGTATAAATTAGATGCATGCTACACGATATTTGCAGTATCCAACGAGAAATATATATGCAGATATGAGTTAACAATTTGATTAATTTAATATTCCGGAAAAATATCAACTTACTCCAAAGTATTTAGATCGTTTCACTTAAAATCAGAAATATAAAATGAATTATTAATACATATCAGTATAAATATAAAACATTTATTTTTACGGGTAAAATAATTAATTTAACACCAGTTAAAGTAAAGACGAGAGGTCATGAAATGCAGTTGCAGAATGGCCGCCAAGGCGGCGCAAATATATATTTTGTAACAAATCTTTCATTTGTGTTTTTATTAATTATGGCGTCATGCACTCACAAGTCATAAAAACTTCGTAAATAGCACCCCAAATTATCTAATGTATCACTTTAATCAATTTGAATTGAAAGTATACATCTAAATGAATGTAAGAATTTATAATTTATGGTTAACATTTTTGCTAATTCTCAGAAGATCAGTTAGAACAACTGTATGAAGAAACAAATAATAAAATGGGATCCGTGCTACCCAAATGCGTAAATTATTTAGCTGAAGAACCTCCAGAAGAAGAATATTTTAAACCGGACTGGCATCATAGTAAGTAATAATATCTAACCTGTTATTATCATATTATTGGAATCAACTTCATTATTCTAGCCTTTAAGCCATATAAAATAAATAATAATTAGGGATGGGCTTTCGATGCACTCATCTGATTCCAAATCTAACGATGCTTGATTTATAACAAATACGTTACATGTATTTTAGAATCAGAATAATAATAAAAATAAATTTTGCATTTTCAAATCATTTTACACTCAAGTTTTGCTAATAAAGTAACTTTGTAACGTACAAACAACGAATTTATATTATAATCGAATATTATTAATCATCATTTTTTTCAACGGATCCATAAGACTCTTGATTAGCAACGGAAAATAGAATGAGAATAATTTCTTTTCATATAGTCTACGTAGAAAATTAGAAATTGAGAAGTCCTGCAAAACGTTTTGTTAACTGTATATTTAATGGTTAAAATTTTTCCTAAAGTAAAAAATGGGAGTGCAGTATTTAAATTTTGAGGGGTTTTTAGGACATTACCAGTTCTAATAACTACAATAATATGTTTAACTTATTTTAAAAAGTCATTCTTTTTGCATTGTACAAAAAAAAATCGTTAAATGAATAAAAATAGTGAAGTAAATTAGTCACGCCATTATTACTTTTAGACTTCTTACTTATACCTATATACAATATTATATTATATATATTTATTATATTATGTTTGTAAACATCATGCTTTAATTGGTACGTCTGCATAATTCTTGTACATTTATTCACATAATATAAAATAGGTAGTATGCACGACATAGTTATTTAGCTTACATTCTATAAATTAATTTTAATTTTATACGTCACATATTAATAATTTATATTTTTAACGGTTTTATGCGATTTTTAGGACCGAATTTAATAACTACATATTTTAGAGAATAATAAATATCCTTAGAAATATTATCTTCCACATTAGTGAAATATTTTATTTTTTTCAATCTCAATAAATACTTTTGAGTAGTGTACATATTTTCATTTTAAAAGAGGGGGTAGTAAGTAAGCAGCCGCTCAGCTGAATACTGCAGGGTTCGAGTGAACTTCGTCGCCGAGATGTTAATCACTGTAATGTACGTATTACATAGGAATCTCGAATTTTAGCATTGAGGAAAACTGTTCAGTATTTATAAAAAAAAGGAAATTTTACATTTTGTCATCTTATTGGATGTTTGTACAATATATAAATAATATTGGACATTGGCATATAGACATAAATTATTGAGAATTGGGTTTCGGGTACCAATATAATGTTATTTATTCATTTAGAGTGGTTTAAAGTATATTGTAGGACAAGTGAAGTGAAGAGGATAACCTAAAACCCCATGCAGTCTTAACTTGGTTGAGTTTTGATTGTATATTCTAAAATTATACATTAAAATTCAAGGCTTCCAAATATTACATTTAATATGTAGACTACCTTATTAAATAGTTATAGAAACAAAGCCAAAATATTTTATTATTGAAAAAAAAACGAAATAGTAATAATCTATTACTTATAAGAATGTTACGAAATATTTTTTTAATTACTTATTATACTTATTATGTTAAAGGAATGCAAAATATGTCAATATCATGTGCATTGGTATGCATTATAATAGTTGTTACTGCATCATTGATTGGACTTTTTTCTATTTGCCGTCATCAAATTAGTGCTATGTTAATCACTGCTGTGATGTATTTATTAGCAGGTAATTGTTAGTTAATTGTAAATATCCAGCTCATATATTTTACATAAAATATGAAATATCAAGTTTACAATTCTAAAATATTATATAAATAATTCAAATGTGTGCATGTGATTTAAGGTTTAAGTATGAATATTGGTAAAACCTAGGTTTTAAAAATAAAGTTTCTACAAAATGTCAGAATTTCAGGTTTTTACCGATTGATTGGTAAATTCTAGGATAAAAAAAAAATAAGGATTAATGCTAATTTTGGTTTTAACAAATGAAAATTGTAAATCTAAGGATGAATTAACAATCTATTATAAGTCTGAAATATAAAATCTGAAATGTGTACAATTATTTTAGTTAACTTCTTTTAGCATATACTGTTTATTAAATACAACTACCAAAAATTATAACATAATAAACTGATATAAAATACAATTTAAGTGAAAATAGTTAATGGTTCTTTTAAATAATTTTGAACAAAAAAATAATCAAATTAATTTATAGGTTATACCTTATTGAAATGTTATAACTGAAAATGTGTGCGTTAAATACACTTTACAAAATTGAAATGGAATTTACTTTTTTCACTTTCATACATTTTTTTTAGTTACCTAGTTTTTATTTTCATATATTAGACTTTTACCATAGCAGGTTTTTTATCTTAAGGTGCACATTTCTTGTTTGTAAGAAGCTGAACTACAATAAACATTTGGAGTATGACAAAATATCATCAGTAATACCTAGGTTTACCAGCATTCATACACAGACCATAAAATTTGAGTTAAAAACACAATATGTTAGGTGTCATATTGTAAACTTCAAATTATACCAAAAAAATAATTTCAAAAAGGTCCTTTTAACAATTTTTAATACGGAGTAAAGTACATAGTATATGATGTAGAACCATTATTTTGTTATTGTTATTTTATAGCTACTTTTGGTTTGTTCACATTGGGAATAATGCACAATAAACATAATTCAAGAAAAACTCATAGCCAGAATAATTGCAATCAATCACTAGCACTTATAGATGGTATGATCAATGCCGGTGGAAATATGTGTCAAACAATGAAGTTTTGGGAACAATTGTTGACTGCTAGAATATACTCACTAGGCTGGAGTGTAAATATGGGATGGATAGCAGTTATTTTATGTATTTTAACTAGCATTCTATGGATTATTTTATCTAAGATAATGAGAGTCACCATAAAATAGTTCAAAAACTAAATCTATATTCAAATCACATATTAACCAGTTAGTATTTTTTCTATGATACTAACTTAATAATAACTCATCAGTAAGTTTAATGTATTTAAACATTTTTGATTATGCATAATGCATTTGCATCAATCACAATTATTTACTGTTCATAATTTTAACAGGTATACAGAATGTCCCCTGAGGACACATTGCGATATCTCCTGAGATAGTAAATATATATTTAATCTGTATTTTTATTAGACTTGCAGAAACAAGGACTACATACATTTTATTATTTTTGAAACAATTGAAAACATCTATTTTGTAGAGATAATTTTTCTGAATATTTTGTGATTTTTCATTATTTTTGTTTATAGGTAACACGGCAAAAAACTGGTTTTTGTCTAGGTGGCATGTCCTCTCTACTGATAATGGGTATAATACCTAACCTCACAGGACACCCTGTATATATTTTAATAATTTGATTTAATTTTTAATGAAATTATTTAATACATTGAATGCTATGAGATTATCGCATCCATATAGTATTAGAGTATAAAGGTATTTTTTTTTGGGTATTGGCGGGTCATACCTTACCATTTATATGCCATACAAGCACAACATTTTATTTAAATTTAAACAATGCTAACGGGGGCCCCAATCAAACCACACCCGCATGTGTTGTCTCCGACTTACAAACATACAACATAGCAAAAACTATTAAGCGATGAATAGAACCACTCAGGTTGAAGTCCAAGCTCAAGCAACCAAATTGTCATGCGATTAAAAGGAGAAAGTTTATTATGAAACAGTTTTTATTTTTCGATATTACCAATCCATGAAAAGTTCTAATTGTTCAAAAATTCATAATTACAAACTTGAATAACTTTTTTTTTGTATTCGGGATATCGAAAAAAATAAAAACGATTTTGCACAGTAAATGTTCTCCTCTTAATAGTATGAAAATTTGGTTGCTTAGCTAGGACTAAAGCCAGTGGTTCTATCCTGCGCAAAACAGTTTTTGCTATGTTGTATGTTTGTAAGAAAGAGACAACACATCGGGGCGTGGCTTCCTCTTATTGCTTCAAATAGCTTTTGTGGCATTTTAAATTACAGAGCATAATTATTTATACATATATATTGTACTCTGTCTTTAATACAGGGTGATTCTTTCATCATGAACCATTCATTATTTCAAAAAGTATTAACATTTTAGAAATTTTTTTTACTTATTTGAATAACAACATACAGCTTTAACTTCATCTTTGAAAACAAAATATTTTTCTGAGAATGAGTACATAAAAAACAAATTTAGGACTAGTAGTTTTTGAGTTATAACTAAGGAGCAGATTTGTAGGTTTTTTTTTTGGCTTTAAGCAGCTCAACAGGGGTATAAATAATATGGACAACTTACTTATTCTGTACAGAATTCACAGGAATTTAATTAGAAAAAGAAATTACAGCATGTATTTTATATTTTGTATTACTTGTTCGTTTCTTAAGTTGAAATATTTTGTCACAAGAAAAATAATGTTTTCAATTTAAATAATTTATCAAAGAAAACATATGCAATAATTATTTTAAAGTTTAAGCTACCTATTCTTACATGGTGTGCAATAAATGGATGGTAAGTATAAATATTATAAATTAAAAAAATTCAATGTTTAATTATAATAACTATACATTTAAATAAAAAAGGCATATTTTACACCATATATTTTACTAGTCTGATAATTGTTAAGAGAATATTTTAAGATTTTTTTTAAAGCATAATAGAATCATATTTTAAACATTTAAGAACCTAATAAACTGTTCTTCAGTTAAAACTTATAAAAAGAGACTGGAATTGTATGCATTTTCATATTCATACTGAACGTATACACAACTATGAGGGGTAAAGGATATTTTGTTATTATAACATATAATTTGAATATTTTATACTTTTTAATAAAAAAAATTACTTTTCTATCATTTTTTTGGTCCTTTTCAAAATAAAAACCATGTTGATTCAACAATTTATTTTAAAAATTCACAGAAATCTTTGTAATAATTGTGTAATTTATTCAACATTTTTTAATGAATTCAATTGTGATTTAGTTAAGATTATTTATTTAATTTCAATGATAATTTGACAATAGTTTACTTAAGATATTATGCTGTATTAATAATCATCTGTAACTTAAATTTAAAAATGTATTAGGTAACTTCCTTTTTTATTTTGGCCTAAATTTTCAATGCATATACAGCATATTTAGACAGTTTGATCATGCATATTTGCATCATATTTAGTAGGTACATACAAGCCCAGTTTCTACTTTTACGTCTTAAAAGTTTAAATAGATGCAGCGGAACTAGATAATTTCACAAAATGTTAGGTTAGGATGGATTATATTTTTACTTAAAAGTTTGATAATAGGTTAATTCACTGTAATACCAAAACATACCGGTGAATAAAAATTTGGTATGTTGTACGTGTAAGACGGAGACAATACATAGGTAGCTTAAATTATAAGTGCTACACTTGGTGGTAAATAAGTTTTTAGCATAGCCAATGTCAAAATATTAAAGTAAGTTTAAATTATCATTATGTTGATCTTTCTGTGTGACAACTTATTTGCTTTTTTTGTTCGACCTAGAGCCAAATCATCCAATTAATTATTTAGGCAGAATTAAAATTTTCAACTAAACATTTTAATATTTATTGAGCCACAGTTTATTTTAATTGTTAATGTGGTTGTTTCTTATAACTAAAAGTTGGGATAGTACTTGTTTGTTATCGCCCCGCCATAAATAAAATATATTATAGTATAATAAAATAAACAATAAAAAAATAAATATAAAAATGTACTACAATTATAAATTTACAAAGGAGGCCAGAACTCAGAAATATCTTTTAATATTGTTTCAAATACATCATTTTTTCCGAGACGTGTTCTCCACAAAAGGCTGCCAAATATGATTCCAGAAAATTTCTATTAGTTCCACGATGCTTTTTATTTCCCCATTAAGCAGATCCCCACAACCTCTCGATGTTTTGGGTGTGTGCCCCTGTGTCCGGATCAACAAAATTATACGTGTGGTTAACAGTATTATGTTTGAATCCTGCTTGCTGCAAATTATTGTAAGCTTTCCGACAATCCGACATAATTATTGAGCCTGGTCTTATATATTTTTGTATTATAGGTAGCAATGTTTTCTCCGATCGATCAGGTACACTCACAATAAAACACGCTTTGGTTTTCCGATATATCCCACCAAAAATCTATTGCTGTGGCAGAATACATCCAGCATTATTTTTCCTATGCACAAATAACTATATAGTGGGGTGATAGCAAACATGAGTGGCGGGGAGATAAATTTTCAACGTTGTACTGGCGGGGCGATAACAAACAAGTACCGTTGGGATTTCTAGCAATAACATGATTTTTTGTGATAGTTGTAGAATATTCTAAGTAAGATATAAATTAATTTTTGTGAAGTGGTACAATAAAATACTAAGTTTAACTTTGCATAGCTTTGTTAAATATTACAAAAAGTACATATTTAACCTGATAACCAAATCATTTTTGATCAATTTAATGTAAAGAGATTATTATTTGTATCTTACATTATGATTGTCAACCATAATATTATATAACCTATGATTATAACCGTCAAATGTTTTAGAGTAAAAGTAATATAACAATAAAGAGGTTTATTTATACTATTATTTCCACCATACCTATATCTAATTGTAACTGCATATTTATGGTTATTTAAATTGCATAATAACATATATTTTTCAAACAATTTTAGTGAGGTAGGTTCCAAATCGTACATAAGTATAGCATAACATTATTTTTATAACTCAATAAAATGTTAGTAAATTCAAGGTAAATACCACCACCCTAAACATAATATTATTTTTTTTATTTTTTCTTTGGTTTAATATGTACCTACTTAAAACATAAAATATATATTTTATTCAATAGTGAGCACACTTATTACATGATAATAAAGAATAGGTTGGAGTACCTATTAGTCACTTAATTGATAAATATACAATAGGACAGATGTATCTTTTCATTATTATATATTAATGCGAATTCTGAAGTGTACAATACTTAAGGAACAATGCAAAAGTTCGCTTAGTTGTAAAAAAACTTCGAACAAAACAAAAACTGGTTTCCCGCCAAATGTAATAGATTTTCAGAAACATTCTATTAAATGTATGCCAATATTATTGACCATAATTAAAAAATGAATACACTAACGACAAAAGCACATGTTATCGTGTAGGATAATATACATGTATGAATAAGACACCCAATTTACTCATTTTAAAAGCTAACTACTTGTTGGTAAAACTTGTTAGTGACTTACCTAAATCTGTAGACGAAAATGTAGAATTATTACTTGAACAAAAAAATATAAATGTTGAGTCAGAAGAAGCCACAAAAACGTGCAAACTGCAAATGACCAAATCGAAAAGGTAAAGAACTATCAACTAATGTCTAAGAGCAGTAAGAGCTACAATAGCAATAGCCAAATAGCCAATAATGAATAACGTAAAATATTAATAACGGATATTACGATAATGATAATCGTTACTGATTCGCCATAACAACGAAATTTTAAAGAAGGAAAAACCCGCAATATCACTAGGAATTAGTTGAGTTAATAAAGATAACGGATAACCTAACATAATTCTCACAGATGAAAAATACAATGAATTATAATGATAAACTTCTCAATAATATTCAAGGTTAAATAGTCATGGAGTAAACCTTCATTCATGGTGGAAAAACAATATTTGGTTTATTTAATCAACAGAAGCTGGTGTATTGACTATTGATACACCTTGATCACAGATTATATAATCTGTGCCTTGATCAAGACAACAACAACAGGCAAGAGTCAACAAAACTATAGATAGTTGATAGTCTGATTTTGATGCATTATATACATTTATTTATTCTGTAGTGGTTTCTAGTTGATATTTAAGAGTTTAAAATTAAATAGGATATTTTCATTAAACTATGGCTGCACCCCCAGCCGCATTGGTGAGCAAGGTGAAGAAACATTTTATCGGTATTCCTGCACCTCTTGGATATGTCGCTGGTGTTGGTCGAGGAGCGACAGGATTTACAACACGGTCTGATATTGGTCCAGCTCGAGATGCTAATGATGTTTCGGACGATAGACATGCCCCACCCACAAAAAAAAAAAAAAAGGATGAAGAAGAAGATGATGATGAGGATTTGAATGACTCTAATTATGATGAATTCAGTGGTTATGGTGGTTCATTGTTCAGTAAGGATCCATACGACAAAGATGACGAAGAGGCAGATATGATTTATGAAGAAATTGATAAACGAATGGATGAAAAACGTAAAGAATACAGAGAGAAAAGATTGAAAGAAGAATTGGAGAAATATCGACAGGAACGACCAAAGATTCAACAACAATTCAGTGATTTAAAAAGAGGGTAAATTTATATATGTATATTATTCATATATTATAATTGTAGCACAGTTTCCTAACAGTTTAACTCACAAGTTCACCAATAATTTTTTTTTTCGTCACAGTATTTCAGTAGTTAGGTGCTATAAAATTAATGTTTCAATTCAAATGCTCCATTAAATTGTGCTATCATCTAGCAGACAATAATTTAAGGGGTTGATTTTATTTCATTTCAAAATATATTGTATTCTATTATGTATTTTCAAATAAAACAATTTTTATGTTTCTGTTGGTTAAACTCTTCTGAGACTTTGCATCACAATATTTAATTACTGTTTTTAAAAATGTAATACTTTTTAGATTGACTATGGTTAGCGAAGACGAATGGCGCAATATTCCAGAAGTTGGTGATGCTAGAAATCGTAAACAAAGGAATCCTAGGGCTGAAAAATTTACACCACTTCCAGACACGGTACTTTCACGAAGTCTTGGTGGTGAAAGTACTTCTTCTATTGATTCGGCAAGTGGTCTTATGAGTCAATATCCACATGGCGCTGTTACGCCTGGAATGTTAACTCCATCTGGTGACTTAGATTTGAGAAAAATGGGACAAGCTCGTAATACTTTAATGAATGTAAAACTGAACCAAGTGTCAGACTCCGTTGAGGGACAAACTGTGGTTGATCCTAAAGGCTATTTGACTGATTTGCATAGTATGATTCCAACATATGGGGGAGATATCAATGACATAAAAAAAGCTAGATTATTGTTAAAGTCTGTTCGAGAAACTAATCCTAATCATCCACCTGCTTGGATAGCATCAGCTCGCCTTGAAGAAGTAACAGGAAAAATTCAAGCTGCCCGTAATGTTATCATGAAAGGTTGTGAAGATAACCCGAAATCTGAAGATCTTTGGCTTGAAGCTGCTCGTTTACAACCTCCAGAGACTGCCAAAGCTGTTATTGCCCAAGCGGTTAGGCATATTCCAACATCAGTTCGTATTTGGATTAAAGCTGCTGATTTAGAATCTGAAACTAAAGGTAAAAGAAAAGTTTACAGAAAAGCTTTAGAACATATTCCAAATTCAGTTAGACTGTGGAAAGCTGCTATTGAGTTAGAAGATCCAGAAGATGCTCGAATTTTATTAAGTCGTGCTGTTGAATGTTGTCCAACTAGTGTTGATCTGTGGTTAGCTTTGGCTCGATTAGAAACTTATGAAAATGCACGTAAAGTTTTAAATAAAGCCCGTGAAAATATTCCCACTGACAGACAAATTTGGACTACGGCTGCTAAATTAGAAGAAGCTAATGGTAATATAAATATGGTTGAAAAAATCATAGACCGCGCTATATCTTCATTAAGTGCTAATGGTGTTGAAATTAACAGAGAACAATGGATAAAAGAAGCAATAGAAGCTGAAAAATGTGGTTCGGTAAAAACATGTCAAGCTCTTATCAAAGCTATAATTGGATATGGAATAGAAGACGAAGACCGTAAACACACTTGGATGGAAGATGCTGATTCGTGTGCTAGTCAATTAGCTTATGAGTGTGCAAGAGCCATTTTCTCTCATTCATTAGCTGCTTTTCCGAGTAAAAAATCTATTTGGTTGAGAGCTGCTTATTTTGAAAAAAATCATGGTACTAGAGATTCCTTAGAAACATTGTTACAAAAAGCTGTTGCTCATTGTCCAAAATCTGAAGTATTATGGTTAATGGGAGCCAAATCAAAATGGTTAGCTGGTGATGTACCAGCTGCTCGTGGTATTTTATCTCTAGCATTTCAAGCAAACCCAAACTCAGAAGAAATTTGGCTTGCTGCTGTCAAATTAGAGTCTGAAAATTCAGAATTTGATCGTGCAAGACGTTTATTATCTAAAGCCAGAGCTTCAGCGCCAACTCCAAGAGTGATGATGAAGTCTGCTAAACTTGAATGGTGTTTGAACAATTTAGATACAGCTTTACAAATCCTCGAGGAAGCTCTTGTTAAGTTTCCAGATTATGCTAAATTGTGGTTAATGAAAGGTCAGATTGAAGAACAACAAGGAGATGTAGATAGAGCACATGAAACTTTTAATTCTGCACTAAAGAAATGTCCTAGTTCTATTCCTTTGTGGATCTGGTTAGCTAGATTAGATGAGAAAAGAAAAATGTTAACCAAAGCAAGATCAGTATTGGAAAAAGGTCGTTTGAAAAATCCACATAATCCAGAACTATGGTTGGAAGCTATACGTATAGAATTTCGAGCGGGTATGAGAGACATAGCAAACACAATGATGGCCAAAGCACTACAAGAATGTCCAAATGCTGGAATATTATGGTCAGAAGCTATATTCTTAGAAGCAAGACCACAACGAAAAACTAAAAGTGTGGATGCTTTAAAAAAATGTGAACATGATGTAAATGTACTTTTAGCTGTCTCCAAATTATTTTGGAGTGAACGTAAATTACAAAAATGCCGTGAATGGTTTAATAGAACTGTTAAAATTGATCCAGATTTTGGTGATGCTTGGGCATATTTTTATAGATTTGAAGTATTACACGGAACTGAAGAAGTTCAACTAGATATTAAAAAGAGGTGTATTGCTGCAGAACCTCATCATGGTGAAGCATGGTGTATTGTATCAAAAAACATTAACAATTGGAGACTTACAACTGAAAATGTTTTAATGTTGGTTGCAAAAGATTTACCTATCCCTATTTAAAGAACTTAAATTATAATTTGTTCATTTATGGGTTAGAATAGTATGTAAAATGTAAATAAACACTAAAAATAATGTTTTTATTAAGTTATACTGATATTATTCAAGTGATTGTAAAAGTTTATTAATTAGGTACATGTCTGTATGAGATAATATAGTATACCTAATAATAATAAAAATGCGTATTCTATAATGATAATGTAATACAATTGTGTCCTTAAACAAAATTGTTTTATTATATACAGAGTCTAATAAGAATAACCGACAAATGAAATAACTTATATTCCAATCAATATTTTAAAATTTTTTTTTTTGTTTGTTTAATTAGATAACGAACTGCATATTACATTTCCAATTTCCATAGAAACATTGAAGTTGTGCTACCATATGTCAATAGGGCAATGTTTGCAAAATAATTTAATAAATAAGATACGTTTAGCTATACATATTTATTTTCAATCATGCAACTTTTCCCTGTTGGCATATGACTGTCGACTAATATTATCCTGTAGTCCGCTATCTAGTTTAAAATATCTATGATTAGTAGCTCTGAGTCAATAAAATATAAATTTAAAAAAAATTAAAAATATTGATTAGAACAACAGTAATTTTATTTACCTGGTCAAACGGTCTTCCACTTACATCCTGTATATACATTTATGTATTTATAAAATTATAATAAACATGTTTAGATAGATATTTCGTGTATACATGTTTGAAAATGAATACATTTATTGCACATTCAAATAAATTATACTTAATGATAATGTCAATACAGAAAATAGTACTTGTTGGTTATCCTCACATCACTTACCGGTATAAAACTGTCAAAGAATATTATTGATATTTGTAAAAAGATATACAAAATATTTTTAAATAGCTCAAAAATTGTTGAGATATTTTAAAAATCTTATCATATAGTGAAAATTGACATACAAACATTTCGTTATATCCACAGTTTTTTGTTTTTGAGTAACTACAAAAAAATAAAATCGAATTTGTAATTAACTGGTTTTAAAAATTGTCCGTTTATGCTTATCAGTTTTTTGAAAACTACTAGGAATTTTTTACTTTTGTCTTTTGCCTCCCCACCTCACATATTACCAACCTATATTTAATTTTCAACCTGTAAAAAATACTCAGTTAGAAAATCCAAGAATTTTAATTTCTCTAAAAGGTGATGATGCACAAAAAAAAACAAATTGTAAAATCACTCCGATCAAAATCTAAAAATTTTTTTCAAAATAAGCGCCAAAAATTTGTTTACAACAAAGAATGTGTAATGTCCTTGTAGTTTGATATGATTGGTTAAGAATATCAAATCAATGTTACCATATGATTACTCATTGCATCACTTAAAAAAATAATAATAACGTTTATCAGTATTTCTATATGAATCATTTAGATTTAGAACAGAATTTGTTTTTAGATTGGCAATTAGGAATTTCTGTATATTTAAGTAATTAAGTCGCATGCTTCCAACTTTTATTGTTTAAAAACAATTACATACATTGTGCGTTGATGTAAGTCGGTGTACTCGGTGTAGGTATTTTCACCCAACCCGCTTTTATTTACGTATTATAAAGTGCAATAAAATAATGGAGAAGGATGATGAAAAGTTCTTTTACGAAGATGAAGTTGCCATGGTGTCTTCAAAAACTGGTCTAATGAAGTATGGTTTGGTTTTAACGACGAACAGATCGCGATCAGAAACCGAGTTGAAAAAAAGCTCATATAAAAATCATAATGAAATCAAAGTGATCTGGCATCCAAATGGGACTGAAGAAATTATCTCTGATGATAAAGTATATATTATCTATCTATCAACAGTTAAAATGTTTTGAAACTAGAGTCTTAATTGTTTTTAACTTCTAGGTTGTGTTAATGGATCGATCATTAATGCCTGGTGATGTAGTACGTAAAGTTAGTGAAGGCAAACCAAGTCAATTTGGATATTGTGAAAATATTGATATATATGCCACAGTCAAAATACTTAATACCAACAAAATAATAGAAAATATCAATTCCCGAAACTTTACTCACACTAAAGTATGCACTTCTTTGATATTTTAAATATTAGGCAACTATATTTACACAAATAAATTGAAGTTCTTTTAATTTTAATATATTATTTTGCTTTAAGAAATAATATTTTATTATTAGACCAATGGCAGGTTCCCTCAACTCATGTATTTGACGTGTATATATACGAATACTTGAATTCGTCAAATTACACTATTATTCAATTATATCATTCCCACTATTAGTTGATCAATGACCTAATAATGTGATGTAAAGATATATATCATATTAAAATCAGTTCTCGTGTTCCTTAAATTGTCCAACTATATAATTTATCTATTTATGATCTATTTTATTATTTTGTAGATCTTTCACATATTTCCTATAAAAAGTATATATTTTTGTTTATAATTTGTATTCTAACAATCTAAAGTCAAGTGTTATTTAGTAAGTATGATGCATATCTTATATATTGTAGAAAATAGAAATTCAATTCGTCTTCTTTTTATTGATATCAAATAGTGTCGTTCGAGCAGCTCAACTTCGGAAAAAAATTTTAAGTACATGACTCGTCTAAAATTTTATTTATACTTGTATCGACTACTAACCTTGAATTGAGTATTCGTTTCACTATTTTTAAAATTAAAAATTAAAAAATAAATGTTAAAACTATAAATAACTGATAGAACCCTAATTCTAGTACAGTTTAAAATATTCCAGCAATTCAGAGTACTCGACCGTTTTTTGGAATACTTAGAATTGGTCGAGTATTCGACTTTTTTTAAAATTTTGAACTTGACTCGACACAAAATTATAAAACAAACTCGTTCAACACTAATATCAAATGTTATTTTGACATGTGATAACAGTTTTCAGCTACCTAATTTATTAATACAATTTTTTAGAAGTATAATTTATTGATTTTACTTTTTATTTATAGCCTTTTGCAATTGATTCCTCGGTTTTTTATGAATCATGGGTTGGTGGAGTTTATGATGTCAAATGTAAAGTTACATTTGTTTCACAAGATGGATCTATTTTTACATTAGAGGATCCATATAGACGAGACTTCATTAGTATATCTACAAGTGATGTAAGTTAATTTTTAAATTAATTATTCTGATATAAGAAAGTAAAAATTTTGCAAAATATACTAATTTAAAATATTTTTGTTTACATTTCCTTTTATTATTTATTAATTATTTCCATTTATAAAATAGCCCAACAAATTTATTTTGATTTTAATATTTTAAAATTTTAGAGTTTTTCTATTGATGACAATGTATTCTATCATGGGCAAAAATTAAAAATGTGTCTAGATTCCTTAGAAAATGCAACATTTTTAAGTATCAGTAACTTAATGAAATGTTTATGGCACAATTATAAGAAGAAATTCAGCTATAAATTTGGGTCCAAGGTAATTAAACAAAGTAATTATTTAAATCAATTGATGTTCCAATCATACTATATTTATCATTTTTAGTGGATCAAAGTTTATGTTAAGGATGTTATTGTATCATCAGTTGAAGTTGAATGGTACTGCCAAACATCAAGTAGAACAAAGCCACGTGAAGAATATTGGCCAGAGAGAATATTTACTGGAGATAATTTGAAAAAGTAAATACTAAAAAAATATTAATATTAATGTACTTGTTAAATATGATAAATGATATTTAATACTATGTTGTTTTGTTGTATATATACTCTATTCAAGTTAAGAAGCTGCTGATTTGTGTGCAGGGGTGTGGTAATACTACTTGACCGAAATATAGATTGTATGCTGCATGAGGGCTTAGCAACTTGCAAACAAATTAGCCCTCATGTGGCTATGCTATATAGAATAAAAAAGGTATAAGATAGTTGTCTAGGAGGGGGGAAAAATATGGTCATCGCTGACTGTGTTTCTTAATTCGAACTGAGTGTAGTCTTCGGAAGTATAAGATAAGCCATATAAGTAGTGATCGTTGTAGAAATTAAGCTGTATTTAATTTATGAGGTGAGGTTATGCTTGTTGATGGTTATGAAATATAACTTATAATATGAATATAATTATTTATTATATTTGATGCCTTGTCTGAAATAATACCAATATCATTGATGTTATTGTGACTACTATGTGATCATTATCACATTATCATGACATAAAAAATCTTACTTTAATATTTATTTCATATCTGACCATGTAATGTTTTCTATATTTGTTAATATTAAGTTGGCTGACAAAAATGAAAAATTATCACACTGAAGCAAAAAGATTTTAGATTATTTATGCCTCTAATTTTTAAGCATTCATTTGGTATCAGGCCCAGAGAATAACCACTAACTATCAAATACACTTTAATCTGTCAATACCATAAATAATATTTATTACTTTTGAAGTATAATAAATAATAAAAAATATTGTATGTTATGACAAAAAATGTAATATGAACAAAATTCAAACCATTCAAAATAAAACCTTATGCTTACTCGCTAATGCCCCCCACCATACATCTCCAACTATACTCTGTGCACACAGATTTAAATATTAATAAAATTCTCGCTGGAGCAATAACTTTTTACAAAAATTTCAGAATAAACTTCCATCTCATCCCAATCCCAGTGAATCAAATTGAGCTTCTTGTACAATTCTGTGCACTTCCATAGGTATCTGAAAAGAAATTGAGGTTGAGATTTACATAATGATTAATTTAAAAAAAAAATCAACAAATCTACAAACAAATAGTTAGTGCTTACACTGGATGGCTTCTTCCTTCACGCTTTTTCGTGTACAAAATGTCTCACAAATCACATATTCTTATTGTGCCCAAGGGAACAGATTGTGTAGTTCTTGTTAAGAAAAAAAATGTTATGCTAAAAAATTAATGTTTATATAATATGGTATTGAAATTTTGTGGTGTACAACAAGGTGGATAATATTATACATAAATGCAAATAAACAGTTTGATATTATTTATTTTACTATCAAATAATTTTATTTTTATATTTTTAGACTAAAAACTATTGATTTATTTGAGTCGTGTTCAATTCAAGTGGGAGACACACATTGGTATACAATTAAAGATACAGATAATTTAATGACGCTAAAACAGTGGCGATCTAAATGTACAGAAGATTTTAATATTGGACCAGGTTTAATACATAGTAAAATTAATAAAGATAAGCTACGCAACAAACTTTTTGGTATCAAAAAATCATCACAGAATACACATCCTATTGATTTGGATCCTCTAAATAGTGATGACTTATCAAGTATGTATATAATATATACTGTATATTTAATGTATGTAATAGCAATGTTTATTTTTATATTTATTTTCATATTTAAAAACCTGATTACCTTATGTTGTTTTAGTACAACATGTGTTTATTTATATATGATAAAATTAATTATATTTTTGCTAAATCAACCTTCATATGTAATATGAAGTATATATTAGATAAATTAATATTCTATTGAATATTGTCATATAGGTACACCAAATGTATCTAGTAGAAACGTTTCAGCTACGCCAACACAAAGAAATGAAAAAATAGTAAATAAGGAATTTAAATTTGCATTACTAACCAAAAAAATGGAATTGAAACCTACAAGCACAACAGGTAAAATAATAACAATTTTGTAAATTAAAAGTATATTTTTCTGATAAGTGATGTTTTATCTAAAAGTATGTCCGCCTTGCAATACTCACTTAAATTATAAAGTTATACAAATACTGATTTTTTGAAATGTTACATTTTATTAAACACCATTTAATCTAATTTTAATTCTTGGTTTATGCGCAAGTGTTAAAACTGTCTCGAGGTTTTTTTATATTCCATTTCACTGTTTAAAAATGTTAGAATGTTTAAATGTTCATATGTTTAAAATTTAAATAGTATTTAAAAAAATTACTTATCTATTTCTGAGTTGTTTTTTTATGTAATATGAATAATAGTCTACTAAATCTTTAAATACAATATTATATATTAAGTATAGTATGGGGTTTAGAACCTTTATATTAATATTTATAAACTAAGAAAATTGATATTAATCAGTAATACTTAGTTAAGTTGATTATTTTTAAACTATGCCTTGTACATGTACAATGTACAACCATGTAAGTTTTTAAACCACATCTGTTAAGAATAGGTACTATACTCAAATAGTACACTATTATCTTTAGTACATTAAGTTCTACATATAATTAATCAGGAAGTACTTCCCAAATTTAAGTTGGTATTTAAAAAAAAAATATAATAATTAATTTTTAGTGAAGCAGTTTGGATAGTAAATATTTCACTTAAATTCTTAAATTTTATAAATTTTAATCTTAGTTTATTTTGAAAGTGTGGTTTTTTTAGAACACATACAATAAACAATCATTAATGGTATAAATAGAATAAATGGTAAAAATAACCTTTCAAAAAAAAACCATTTGTGTAATGTTTCATACACATTTATAATATATTTAAATATACCGAGTGTTTCTTATGTCATTGTACCTGGAGTTTCTTAACAATTATGGACGATGTGGGATTTTGAAAAAACCAAAAAGACTTATTTCTTTATTTTTAACATTACATTTTTTTATAACAATTCAAAAATTGTTACATAACATTTCCTTTAAAAATAAAGAAACCGGTTTTATTGTTTTTTTTAAATCGCATATCATTGGTCCATAATCGTTAAAAAAACCTACATACAACAGAAGATACACCCAGTTCATACTAAACTATTTAAAAAAATTGTTTATATATTCTCTAGGTAATAATTCTGTACGTACATTAAAATCGAACAGACTAAAGAGGAACCGTATGTGGAAATCATTAATTAAAAAAAGTAAACATTTTAATGTACCCAAAGTAAAAACCAAACCAAATTCCAAAGTTGTGGTTGAAATTTGCTGCACAAAATCCATGGTAGATGTTATATGGCAGGTATGTAATTTGATACATGTTTATTTTTTCAAATATAATTAAGAGGATGTCAGTGCAATATTTATCTTCTCTCAGACTCACACGCAACATAGATAAAACACTTTCACCTAAAATCGTTTTTGATGATTTCCAAGTAACCTTGGAGTAAAATCAATTATTACAAAAATGATAAAGGATAATATTTTTGAGGGTATGAGATATTTGTTTTATATTTTATTATTATTTGACTTAGTATTCGACTTACATAAAAAAAAATAAAAATTGTAATTATAAACCGTTTTGAGATAATATTTAGACAAATCGATGTGACATTCCATCAAAAATATTATTTTATATCAAATTTTTAATAGGTGATTTTACTCTAAGATAACTCAAAACCATTTAAAAAGTGAATCTGCGTAAATGCATTTTGTCTATGTTGAGCGTGGGCCAGAGAGAGAGAAAACAAACTGGTATCCTCTTAAGAATATACTGAGGATTGACAAAATTCAGTTTTTGGTTTGCATAATCCTAACTTGGAGATCCCCAGCTATAATTAATACCAATCATTGGTAACTAATCACTAAAACACAGAAAAACAGAATGTAATGTTAAAAATGGGATTCTGCCTAGAACACAACAAATTGATAATAAACTGCAGAACATTATTAGGTTTAAAGGAAGAACTGGGTAGCAAACCTATAAATGAACTTCATTTTCAATGCTTAGTTTATTTATATAATATATCTAGTATCTAATAATTTGAGTTAAATTTTAATCATATAGAACCTTTGTTTTTAGGATGGTACTAGGGAAACAGGAGTTTCTTCCACTGATCTCTATCCAGTACAAACGCTTGATGACCTTGAGTTTTTTCCTGGAGATTTTGTTACTGAAAAAAATCCTGCATCAGATGTTTATGGTGTTGTAGAATCTGTGGACCATGCCGAACGCACTGCTCATATACAATGGTTTAAAGTTTATCCTGAAAATCCATCATTGTATGAATTTTATCAATATTTCTTTAAACCAATATTGAATCTAATATAACTTTTTTTAGGCCAAATCCTATTGAAAAGACTTATTTTAGTGTATATGATTTACGTGATCATCCTGATTTCCATTTTAAGTCTGGTTGTCTTATTATACATATTAATCCTGATACAAACCCAGATTCAAATACCTTAACTGCTGGACAAGTATTAAGTGCAGGACCGGATGGCAGGGTAATTTTTTTTATAACATTCATTAAATAATAATATGTTTGCTTAAAATATTAACATTATTATTTGCTTACTGTTTTAATTGTTTAGATTTTAGTGATGTGGGTTAATGGTGAAAAAACCGAATGTTGGCCTCAAGAATTATTTGTTGTCAAACTAAATGATGATGCCTTCAGTTTTCAAGATGAAGAATATGATGATGATGATGCACCTCTTGCTGTCGATGATGACTTATCGGAAGATTGGATGTCTGCAACCAGTCCTGGATCATCTAAGTATGTATACTTAGCTAAGTTTTAATAACCTAAATAACCATAAAAATGTTAAAAATTAAAAAAAAATTTTTTTTTGTAATCTTATTACATAAAATAATTTAATCATAAGTATTGTATTCTAAAAATATATTCTTAATACTATATTCTTCCAAGTAATTTTGTTTTCATATTTTATTTGTGTATGTTATATAGTAAAAGCTATGACCAAAAAGAAGAGGAACAGAGATATGCAAAACTACTACTCCAATTACTAAGACAATCTGCTGCGAGTGTAAATATATTTCTAGATGCTGTTCAACAAAATTGTGACTTGGATAAAGTTCTTAAATTAAAAAAAGCTTTGGAGCAATATAGGTAATTTGTCAGTTAAATTAAAAAATTATTTTACAATTTTAATTGTAAAACTGGTATACTGATATATAGGCTAGGATTTAACGTTAGTTCGTTTTTGCCAACTTCAGAATATAAACAAATAGAATCATGGTACAAGGATCTCATGGATAATATCTCAAAATTAATAAACAAAATAATCTCAAGAATAGGTATTATATTTTATTGTTTTTAATTTCATAGATCACATGATTTATGTTATATATATATTATGTTAGCCTATGCCAAACAAACTGACGGTTGGTGACTGCCCCCAGTTGATGATAGCAATCAAAGGGTATATTTTAGGTACATTCATACACAAAAGCCACATTCCTATAGTTGTTAGCACACTAAATCAATTTGTAGTACCAGCTGTGAAACATCTCACGTTGGGTGGAGTCACCCACTGCCAGTTTGTTTGGCGTGGACTCTATATAGGTGGAGCCATAATTAGCACTATTATTGAACGAGCATGCACAAGTATTTTTGGCATAGAATTAAATTATTTCAAAGTAATTGATAGATAGTTTGTGTATTGTACATACTTTACTGTTCTGTAATAATAAGTCAGATTGTTAAAAGTTTCATATTTACTTAACACGATAAATAATGGCTCCATTTTTGATTTATGGTCTATGTTTATTTTATAATTAAATGTATATTTTTATAGATAGTAAAGAGAAAGAGGAAGGAGAATTAGCTGAAGAAGAAGAACTATCATATGAGACTTTAATTAAAGTAAATAATTGAAATATCATTTAAGTTCATATTATTTATTAACTTGTATTTAATTGATTTATGCCAGATTCCATAAAAATCACCAAACATTTAATGAGTAGTTCATAAATAGTCAAGCTATAATTATTGGTCCATTGAGTTTCATTGAATCATTAAGCTAAACAATTTTTCATGCAATCCGGTATTAATAACATATTTATTTATAGGACAGCGTAACTAAATTAAAACAGGTTGTGTCAGATTTCATGAAGAAAGTTAATCTTATTTTCAATGAATCATATCGTTCTAAGTTTGGAATGATAATAAAACATTGTGGTGATACAAAAAACCAAAATGAACACGATGACTTTGGTATTGAAATAATGGATATTACTGAGCCATCATCAGTACTTCCAGCAATTGAACCAGATTCTACTGAATGTCGTTTTATTACATTGGATACAGAACCTGTGTATGAAGTTATAACTAAACCAGAAGAAGCTGGAGGTATGTAAAGACTAAAGATCCCTATATATTAATGTACTACACATAAATTAAAACTTAAAACCTTTTTTTGTATATTTCTTGTATAGTTACTAACGTTGTATCAAAAAAGAAAATAACTTCTCCTCAATTTACATTCTATTTATATTATGTAATAGAATGTTCACTTATTTTTTATTACCCAAATATTTTACATTTAAAATAAATCAATTTTATCAAAAATATAAGAATAATTTTATAAAAACAAATAGTTTAACTGCTTGAAATACAAGTTAACAGCATAATGGGTTTGTTAAATTTGAATGCAATGTTAAACCATTCACCGTTTTATACACAGAACTGATATTTTGTGTCTAGGAGACAAGATTCATCAGTTTATATTTTTATGGCTCTTATTTGATTTGTATTATTATTAATAATTTCTTAATCCAGTTAGTTTGAACTAATTTTTGCCAAATAAATTGAATATAAGTGTAACTGCAGAATTATTTGTTACATTCATGATACTGCTATGGACTTGCGTCCCGCATTGAACTTTATTAGAGTATAATTAACATTACAGTCTACACAACCGTGAATCAAAAGGGTAGACCTGGTACAATCACGATTGGATATCCAAGGAGAGTGAGTCTGGGTAATAACGTAGGGTGGTAATGATAGTGTTTAAACTATGGGAAGAAGATTCAAAAGTACGGGGCTCCTGATAATATAAAATTAAATATAAAATATAATATGTAATAATGCATTCGTAATAATAGGATATGGCACAATACGTGGTAGATAATCAAAAATGCAATTACACAGTACGCGCTTGTAAAGGCGTAGGCTGTTAGAATTTTTGAGAAGATTCCCATCCGTGGGAACGATTCTTGTATCGAGGGGTCGAGGAGAAGTAGAGGGTGGGTAGACCTACACAGGAGAGCCCCGAACAGCCCATATTCAGACGTAATTTGATCAGACGAACTTGTTGCGCGTTTACGCCAGTCAGTCTTTAGATTTATTATTTTGGACTTAGAAAATATTTGAGTTCAACCGATATTTTCTGAACACTTAGAATAATTCTCTGAGCCAAATATTCGAATATAGAATATTAGCTTACCAGTTTACATTCAAGTATTGAAAATATTACAATAAATTATACCACAATCAACAGTTTACAAGTTCATTTAAAAGTACTTCTCATCCTCTTCCTCTCAATGGCACCTGTAGTCGTCAGATCACTACAGTATGAATAACTTAAAATTAATCTTAAATATTTTGAACATTGTGTACAGAAAATGACTTTGTTTCCCATGTTGTAGTGGCGCATATTAACTTAACCAATGTTTACCGATTGGTATGCATTTTGTGTGCACGCATTCAATATGCGCCCATGTGAAATAGGCTGTAGGCATTTTATAAAGAATATATATTAAATTCTAGAGTCAAAAAAATTAATTATTGTTTTTAATTTTATCTATTCTATTTTACAGTTTTTGATGTGGTGGAAACACTTATGGATAATTCACACAAATACATCAATGATAAAGATAATTTACATTCATCGCTACCAAAAGTCATTGCCAAAGACATCCAAATACTTCAAAAAAGTTTACCGGCAGGAATTTGGGTGAAAACTTTTGAAAACCGTGTGGTAATTAATAATATTTTACGTTGATGAATTAAAAATTACATTGGTTTATTAAGCAAATATTCAAATATTATTATTATTGGAATAATAGTCATATATAAATAGCCAGTTTGAAGAAGTTGACAAAATAATGATTATATCTCTAATCTGTATCTTAATTATTTATTATCTTAGGATTTGTTTTCTATAATGATCAGAGGACCAGAAAAAACTCCATATGCGGGTGGTTTGTTTCTATTTGATGTCAAAATTCCACCCACATATCCAATTCAACCTCCACTCTGTCATTATTATAGTTATTGTGATGACCGGTTAAATCCAAATCTATACGAAGATGGAAAAGTATGCCTAAGTCTTTTGGGTACTTGGTCTGGTCATGGTGTTGAATTATGGTCACCTAATGATTCAAATTTATTACAGCTTCTAGTATCAATACAAGGTGGTGAAAGTTCATGTTTATACTTACTCTAATATTAATATTTTATAATTATTTCAGGACTGATATTAGTGAGTGAACCATATTATAATGAGGCTGGATTTGATTCTCAGCGAGGTCAAAAGCTTGCAAAAGAAAACTCTCGTGTTTATAATGAAATGGCTCTGATCAAAGTAGTGCAGTCAATGACAAATATGTTAAACATGATTAATTCGTAAGTTAAAAAAATGAAATGTTAACCCTTTGACTACTGCCTTAAAGTATGCTACGACTCTATGGATTAAATTAATTATATTAGAAATAGTTTTTTTTGATTGGAGATTTCCATTACATACTCTCTAAATAAGAAGAAATCTTAACAACAGGATTTCAGTGATGTTTTGTGCTCTTTTGTGTACGCTAAAACTAACTTTTCTGGGTTATTCAAGTTGTATAATATGAAACTTATTTTATCAGAATTATGTATATTTAGTCTGCTATTAAAGTTTGTACTATATACAGTGAAACGTTCATATTATAAAGTCTCATGGGCAAAAAAATAATTAAGTTATAGAGATATTTGTTAAAATAGAATTAAATAAATTTGGGTCTACTTTGGTTTGGTTCTTAAAAATTTAAAATATTTTGTTAAACAGAAAATGTTATTAGTTAAGAGTTTCACTGTACTATTTACCAGAGGTCATCAAATAGTAGCTCAAAGACTAGGAAAAAAAATTAAAAAATTAGAATATTTACGTTGTGTTATAATTTATTACTTTTGTTCATTGGTTTTTACCAAAATCTGCAATTTTGATGGCCCCTAAAACAATTTCCAGATTCCTAATGAAAGTTAATTAATTAGCTTAATTGGGACAACTTATTTGGGATTTATGTTGACACATTATGACAGTTCTTAAAAATTATGTTGTACTAGGAAAAATAAAAAGTTACTAGTGGCTTGGCGTGGTGCGTTGGCTGCTACCAGTTGCAAAATGCGACTAGAAGTAACGGCCACAGCTACTAGCTCCCGAATGGGTGACCACCCAGGTTCATAGTAGTTAAGAACCTTGCCACTCATAAACCGTGTTTGCTACCTACCGTAAAAATCATACAAAAAAAAAAACAACCTTCCGTACCAACCTTACCCCTACCACAGTTCATAACCCCTACAACAGCTAATGGCCTTAGTTGCTGGGTTTAAATTCAATAAAAAAAAAAAAGGAAAGTTACAAAAGTCAAATTACTTATCACATGAAAATGTTCTCAAACAAGTCCAAAAAAACACTCATGTTGCATAATATTTTAAATGATTTATATGCATTGGGGGGAAAATATTGAATGAGTATATATTATAAAGGCTGCTTTAAGAAATTTACAATTCTTTCCATTTCGAAATTTTGTGATTTTCTGTGCAATATTCTTGGTTTAGCAATAACAGTTATAACTAGTATAACCTAACCTACATATTTTAAAATATGTTTTAATATAATCATATGCAGTGTGTTCATAAATTTAGGGAACACTGAATTTCTCGCCGGTTACATTGAAAAAAAAAAATCAATTTATTCCAACATGATCCGGCCATGAATTTCAGTGTTCCCTAAATTGGTAAACACACTGTATATATTAATTCAATTGTACACCTATTATTGGTGAGAGGGGGATTGGGGGTTTAACACTCCACAGTAAACGTCTGGCTGTCGCCCATACAGTATTTACTTTAAAAATAACCAATTAATTACCAACCATCACAAAATACATATCATCTGCCTCTTGTATGCAGTAAGTGCATGAAAATTGAAAAACACACCAATATCAAATTTACCAGTTACTTGGTATTATAGAAAAACTCTCCGCCCTTTGAGAATGCCTCTTTTTTTCCACATCATCATGCAGTAACTATTATTAACTTGAATGTTATTTTTATTTTTTCATTTAGAGACATTAAAAAAAATGCAGGGTATTTTAAAGAAGAAATACTAGAACACGTAAAAACACATGGTCCAAAGTATGTTTCTTGTATATTTTAACTATGTAATAGAATGATTTTAACTGTAGTATAACATATCAAAATTTTTAGGTTAATCAATACAATTGAAAATTGGATTAAAATGTCTGAAAAAGAATTAACTGAAGGTAATAACTATTAGTTCAACAATAATTAGTTCATTATGTGTTTTAATTGATACAGTTAACACTAAATTATAATATTTATTATAAACTCTAATCCTATAATTTTTTTTGGTACACTTAATTTTTAGATGAAAAACTTGTTCCTGGATATCCATTATTACCACTTTCCAAGGGTTTTTGCCTATCAATCATCAAAGCATTAAAAGATTACAAAGAAGTATTGATTTCCATGAATATCATGTTCAAATAATCAAGAATTAACTCTTAATTGTTTTATCCTGTTCAAAGAAAAACATACGTTTCATATTAAAGTTATTATTTCTAAATACCATTTTAAAATTTATTTATTCTTTATGTTCAACTTCTTTAGCTTTCAACATATTTAAGTATAATTTATTAAAAGTTATATTATCTGTTGTTTACCAACTAATTCTTATTTAGATGAGAAAACAAATATGTGATTCTAGAAAATGTTAACTACATATAAAACAATTTTTAACTATAGTAAAGTAAATATTGTTAAATATTTTTATTCCATTTGTTGTATTGTTTAATTTTTTTGTTTATTTTGTCATGTACATTATTTGTAAACTATTGTTAATTTTGTTTTATGCCTTTAACATATTACATTATAGGCTTTTGAAATATGTAAAATTAAATATTTTTTCTACTTAATTATAGTAACGAAAACATAAACTGTTAATTTGTTTTTTTTTTACATAACTTAACCCTTTTACAGTTAACACTGTGTCTACATATAAAATATTTAAATAATGTATGTAGTATGACTCAGATATAGGTTAAATATTAATACAACTACAAAATACATTGTTCTTTGGACATCTTATTTAAAGTGTATAAAATAATTTATGTCTTTAATTTTGTACTGTCAGCTGTTCACTTAAAAAATTAAATTCATAATTATTGTATGATGGACAATGATTGAGAAAAATATATTTTTAAGAATAATTTTTTTCTGCGCTTGTATATTTGTCATCATTATATGGTAGATCACAGTTATCGTAGCAACTACCAATATACATTGATGTACTATTATAGTTGTATATAATTTCACAATAGTACTTTGAATCTAGAATTAACTAATGATAAATTTCTTTTACTATTTTACCTTGTTTATAAAATTTAAATACCCTATCTTTTACGCAATTCTTCGTTCTATACAAGCTTAGAATGCCTAGAGAAAAGAGATAGTTACTCACTCCCATTTTCGCATGGCTGATCAATAACGCCAAACAATAATAAACAGCTTTCCTTGGTCAGGAGACAGTGGTGTTTTCCTCTATCAGTAAAACAAAATATTAGCCAAGAGTTAAGAAAAATGTGTCAGATACAGCCCTTGGTAGTATTTTTTCATCAAAACAATTAAGAGTACGATTAAGAGGTTTTCTTATACTTGCCTATTGGATACACATTGCATGAATAAAATAATACTATCATTAATCAATTATATTTTAACAGTAGATAAATCTAACATACTAACATAACTAGATAATTGATAAATCTAACAATGTTAAGAGGTGAGTTTTGGATGGGGAACATAGGTATATATAATAACTGTAAAACTAATAACTTCTTACTTTAACTCACAATAAATTTGCATAACTATGTAGTTTGTACAAAATATTTATTAAAAATTAAAATATATCATCACAAAATAAAAATAATTCAATTTTGTATCTTTCATACATTACATAAGTTTATATGTTGTTGAACTTTAATTGTAACTTTTAATTTAATCAAGTGTCATATTAATATCTTTAAAGCTATTTTATTTTACACTTTAACATTATTTTAATTTATAATACATTATTTTAGACATATAAATTGGACTATAAATAAAAATTATAACAAACTCAAATCTAATGTTTAGCAACAAAAAAAGATATATTTTTCACACAGTTATAACATATTAGGTACATTACTTTACTGATATTTATCCTTTCTTAAAGTTTAGTATAACTTTGTTTAACACTGCTTTACAAGCTATGTTCAACATGATACTAAGGGGATTGGCAACCAGATCTTTATATTTGATAAGAGGGAAAGAAAATAATGAAAAACAAATACTTAATTAGTCCAAGTTAATATATCGTTCATAGCAAATCGATGAGTCCAATATCGTGCAATAGTATTGTATGTCTGTCGGTCATTTTTGTAGAGACGTGCAATGTCAGGTTCCATGCATACATCACAAAATGGATCAGTAAGCAGTGACTGAATTGAAATCAATACTTTAGCAATGGTCAATGCTAAGCTCCAATTATAATGGAGTGAATCTAATCCAATGTCTCCATGACGAGAAATATTAGGGTGAAATATTTTAGTTAAAAATCTGACCACTGGAGGAGTCATTGGATAGCTAATAAAAATAACAATAAAAATAACTAATTATTTGGAATAATATTTTAGTGAGGTTATCTCAACTAACCCATAAGGTATTTGTATATACAGAAAAAATTTCCCTCCTTCAAATGGACTACCAGCCGGTCCTAAAATTGTGGCTTGCCAGTGACACCAATGATTGTCCAGAGATATTGCTCTGATACCTTCAGGTGGATCAGTCTTTAAATCTGAACAAAATCAAAATTGTAACATTCATTTGATACATACAAATATAAAATATGGGGGTCGGATACTTCAGACTTCAGCAATAAAATAAAAATACATGCTATGATGAAAATTATTTTTGTTTGTAATTGTATAACAAAATAGGAGTGTATCTCATATATAGTTAACTCAACTTATACCATAAGCAAATATATTAGTTACTTAAATACTGGTTTAAACATAAAAAGTATATATTTTGATCATGGCCTCCACACAAACCAGTTCAGTGAGGCCCATTATCTTTTAGAAGAAATAAACAATTATATTTATACTTATTTTTTGGTGATCAAATAAAATATTTATAAAATTATAAATACTAACTTTTAACTTCATGTCGTAATCGTCTTCTTCTCCATGAATTTTCTTGACATTCAGCATGTGGTCGATAATACATTCGGCGTATACATAATAAGCACGAAGAACTGCTAAATCTATCAAATGAAACAAATTACATTAATTAAGGGTACTTTTTTTTCTTTTTTTTTATCTACATAGCAAAGTACTATACTCACAGTGCTGAGCTAACTGAAAGCCAATCATCAACAGGTTTTAAAGGCTGGTAAAGAGGCCAACAATCAACTACAAACCTACGCCATGTTTGTGGGATATGTGAACGTAATAATTGGTTCCAACGTGTACATACCTTACTTACACACCACAAACTGAAGTCATCCAAATACGAAAATACAGTCAATAACACTGTGTCAAAAATTATAAAATGTTGAATATTATTATATAAATAAATATCATAAAAGGATATAGGCCATAAAAAATATACCTTCTGGAGGAAGTTCTTGGAAATAATCACTATCATCATCAAAGGGTTGAGGACACAGAGCAGATGATTCTGATAGTAACTGAAGTCGCCGTGCAAGATCTTGTGATGGAGCAACTTGTTCACGTGCATCAAGTGGTACATCTTGAACAGGTCGTTGAAAGCCATTATAAAATATATCTGCTGGTTCATCATTTCCACTATCACCATCCTCAACTCCCTTAATATACAATTACATATTTATTTTAAAGACAGTCTTGAAAAAATTCAACTAAAATTAATAAGATATGGCTTATGAGTTATGAGGATACCAACCAATGCACTATTTTTCTCTCATTTTTCTCCTTCCCAAAAGCCATCCTTCAACCTCTCTAATCCACCATACCAAATTACCCTATGTTATAATAATTACATAAACTCATAACTTACGTAAACATTAAAATATCATAAAATATCCAATATAGAGACTCAGGTAATGTTCTTAGGTTCACAAGGTTAGTTCTGCTAAACGTAAATTTTCTACATTGTGTGTGGGTGAGAATAAATGGTGCAGTGACATGCTCTTAATAAGTTATGTTATAAATGTGTTTTTGAAAATATCAATACATTTTTTAAACACTTCATAAAATACATAACATTAAAAACAATTACTATGAAAATTGTATAAAATATAGTCATCTATAACTATAAAGAGTATACTAATGGAATACATTTAGTGACCATTGCAGTATGTATACTATACATCTAGTAGAATTTGTTTGGATAAGTAGCAATTAATATTCCATCAATATATACGTTTTATGTTAGGTAGAATATCAAGAAATGCTTCTGGAGCAAATAGAAGTGTTCTGTTTTGTTCAGATTTTTTGTCATAAAAAGAAATTATTGTGATGACTACCACTTGTTGAAGTCCAACGACATTGCAAAATGTATTTCAATTATCAGGGCCAGTAAGATTTTCATTAGCTTTGTTCTAAGCCTAACAAGTACATAACATAGCACATATCAGTTCACATTTAGCTTCGATTGATCAATTTTCTGGTCCCGTATAATATAATATGTTGATATAAAAACTCTACTGTATTATTGTGTATCGAGTATTGCATTTATTACAGATAATTGTAAAACATTAAAATTCAGTATCAGTTCTATACTCTTTTTCAAATGAGAACACAGCGTGCGGACAAAATCTGGTTTTAATTTGGGCATCTGCCTCACTCCACAGAATAATGCTCTGGTTACATATGAGAAAGCAAGATGTATTCTCATTTTAAAAAGGGTAAATTGTATACCCTATGGTATTTACAGTACCTAAAAATAGTAAAAACAAAACATTGACATGCTATTATATTATAAATAAAAATAACTTTGGGCACGAAACGGTATCATACTCTGATACCGGCGCTGGAGCCGTGTCAAACTGATGGGGACAAAACACCCGTTTAATACACATTACACGACAACACTAAAATTAATATTTGTTTGTCACCTATCTACTATACACAATTAATTTATATTACTCATTGATGAATAATGTTATTTCACTAGACTTTATTACCATTGTGTTATGCACATCTTCTTGGACAGCCTGTGTGAGCTCTTCAGAAAAAAGAAACAAATGACATGTTTGACAAATTTGTTCATCAAAACATGATCCGTAATAACCATTGCACACATAACAACAAGATGATCTCTATATCGTAAGCATAAAAATGGGTATTACAGTTTATTTAAAAGACACACGAAGGGGAAAATAATAATTTACCTGAAAATTGGTTTGTATATTATCAGAATCGATATTTTGACTGTCCCTAGAACACCCAGCCATTTCTAATTACAAAGAAGTTTGTGATAATTGTGTTCAAGTATCGACGTTTTTAAAGATTCATAGACGAATCAAATTGTAATACAATAATTGGTGTAACGTAAAGACAGAATAATAATAATGAAACTTGGCTTAGCAAATAACTAATAGGCAATTGTGATTAGTATTATTGTCGTGTATCAGTTATCACAAAACTATTATATCTACAGAACACAAATTGCTATATTGCTATTATCACAGATTATATTAACATACGTATGATGTTTACATATCTGTGGGCATAAGACATTCATGAAATATTTTGTAATTTTGACTTGTTCTAACAAAGTGTGGGTGTCTATTTATACTTTGTTGTCAAGTTTTTAATATTTGACCACGGCGGATAACTGTAATATTACCAAGTAATTTTCTCCAGAATTTCCATGGGTTTTTTGGAACAAAATATATGAAACCACAGTCCACAACTGGCCTGCTATAATATTGCCCCAATGGCCTGATCTTTCGGTTGTCGCATGATAGAAATATTTCTATCATGGGTTGTCGGTGCCATAAGCCTATGCCCAATGGTGTTCTGTGTGCTGTTAAAAGTGGTGGGCGAGTGACGTAATGCGTAGACTTGAACCAAATCCGGATTTTCGTCAACCACACCATGTCGTATATATCACGAGTTTATCAGTTACGGGATACTATCACCACAGCGCAAAAACAATTTCCTCTTCCGCAATTCAAAATAGTGTTGAATCGTTGTGAGATACCTTATTTACCTACCTCCTATCTAATTTCAAATTAACAATGGACCACCGTACGCTAGTTTTATTTGATGCCTTATGGTCGTATTCACTCAAACGAAACGTACTGATGGTGCACTGCGGACGCTCGTTTATATGTCGTTTCGATGTCTTTTAGTATAAATATCCAGGACGAGTCTGCTGATTTCGTTATTAATATTAATCACTACTTATTATAGGCATTCTCTTTTTATTTTAAAATGTCATTTTTAAGATGTGCTTTCGTGGCTATTCAAATCATGACGATTGTTTCGTCACAGAAGATCAGCTCCAGAAATAAACAAGTAAGTGATCTAATTTTCCAGTGTGATTATTTTTGTTTCATTATTGTATTTTATAATCATATTATATACCTATTATTATAATAAGTGATTAGTTTTAATCATTTTAATAAAATGCCTATTATATTTGTTTAAACCATTTGAATAATCTACTTTCTCTTTATCTAACATATAGTTATAGACCATAGACTATTATAATATGTTTGAGTACCAAGAATTACATGTAGGCAGAACTATTTAAACTATTTAAATAATAATATCTACTTTCTCTTTATCTAACAATCTAACATAGAGTTTAGACTATTATAATATGTTTGAGCATTAACAATTATAATATGTAAGCCGTACTATTTTAGTTTTAATTATAGGTAGATACTTGATGCATATCAATAATAACGAATATTGACAATCTAATAAATATTTGGTGGGTACTTGTTGTACCGTTAAACTAAACAGTGTGATTTTCAAAAAACTTTTCACAATTATAGATACAATTAGTACGGACCTGATATTAAATATAATATTATATAAATAATTTTAACTGGTTATTGAAATAAAAAGACCCTGGATAAAAAAACCCCGGTATGTAAATAAAAATACTTATTTTTTTATTCATTCAATAAATTAGACTTGCCAATCTTATCCATAAAAAAATGTATGAAAATTGTTACACAAATATAACTCACATTAAATTATGGACAGACCAGCCTATGTAATGGCAGTTGATAGGTTAGTTACAAAATAACGAATGGTGGTAGAAAAATGGAAATTCTGATTGAACATTCGGTGTCAATGTTTAAATTATCAGATATTCTTAACAATTAGGTTACAATTTGAGAAAACTCTTGAATTCAAAATATTTATGAAATCGTTACTAATTATATTTTATTTATATTTTAATGTATTGACATAAAATCAATGGGTCCACTTAATTAATAGTCATTTTTTCGAGTGACTATTTTACCATTATCCATTGTAATTTGTCTACAAATTAATTATACAGATTATCAACAATTAGGTATTCAGATGTTATTATAAACTACCTAAAACAGTTTGTTTATTGAATTTAAAAATGTTATTCAATCTTGAAAAAAAACTACCTTATTGAATCCAATATAATTAACCTTTGGACTCATCTTGTTATTAATATGTCATAAATTAAAATAATATTTATTAAACACTAGTTGTTGGTTACATAATAGTTAATACCTTTCTAAAAACAAGTATACTTTAGTAAAATTAATTTTATGTTCACATTGTAGTATTTCAGTATTTTGTATAATTTATTACATAATTATAATTTATAGTTTTTTTTTATTTTAGTTCTATACACCTTTATTATGCTATTATGATAGGTCATATTATACAATAATTTTGATAATGTAATATTACGTTGAAATACTGATTTTTATTTGTGTTTGGTAAGGCCGTAATTACAATTTTTGAGCTCTGGTTCAACAATCATGTTGTCTAATGCTTCAAAATAAATTCTTCTATGTCTTTCTTCTTCTAATAAAATTATACCTCTAGTATTCTCATCAATTTGTAAAGGCATTTTTTTTTTGTCCTCTTTGGAAATTTTGCTGGTCCCAAAACTTCTGTAAATATATCAAAATTTGACCAGTTTTTTCTTCTATAACAAATTGATCATGAGTTCTTAAAACACTTAATTTGTTAACTACAGTTTGGAAACTGCATGTGTACCACCAAAAACTAGTCATTACTTTTTGACTAATAATCGGGATACTACATCAATAATTTGTAGGTTTTTAGTTGACTTTTCTTTTTTGTGCCCCCGATTCAAAATTTTTAGATATTTTTCTATCAGAAAAAAACTTAAGCATAGGCGTGCGCAGACTCCAATTTCAGGGGCAGCAAGAGATTAATTCGGCCCATTCTTCAAATTCACCATTAAACCCAGCCCATAGTTTTAATATTTTTGCTATTGGGTATCAAAATTAAAGTTGTATTGATTATTTGTTTATTTGGATAAACCGTTGTACAGTTTTTATAATAAACAGGTTTATTAGTTTTATACTGATAAATTCTATAATCATAAAATATTATGGACTGCGCCTTCCATACCCATAGCACGGCGAAAAAATAAGTCAACATCTGATTGTCTGATTCATTATTGCTCAAGACGCAGTCCATTTAGTTAATAGGTCTATGGGAAAACCAATGCAGCGATATTGTTATATATTATAATTTATAACATCGAATATAATTAATAAATAATATTATTTGTGATCAATGCCCACCACGTAGAAATATAGAATGTTCAATAACTTAAATTTACGTATATATTGAAGTATTCCTAAATATTTTATTAATAAAACAAACTGGAGTTTGTAATATACATTTTTTTTTTTTTTTGGTCAAAACTAAAAAAAAATCAATTACATAATTTAGGTGGGCTTCAGTAGTCAGGACATAATCAAAGAGGGGGTCTCGTCGGCATTTAAATCCGACACTGGAAGTGAATTGAAAATTTCAAATTTGAAAATAAACAGATAATACTTCAACTTTAATGGGTTGGTGCTATTATAGATTAAATAGTCTTAGTGCCCATTTTATACTATTTGAAAATATTAATTAATGTTTTTAACACCTCAGTAGTTAGTTTGCAGTGTTGTGTTAGTCATTTTTATAAAATAATTAAGTTACTTTTGCTCAGTACTTAGGGATAAGAGTAATAAAGTTACTTTACTCATTACTCGTTACTTAAGTAATATTGTTTGTTTCTCAAGTAAAATTGTAATGAATTTACTTTACCTTTCAACATTACCTACATTCATAAAGAAAAAAAAATCTTTTCAGTATGACTATGTATTTCTATGTGCACTCTTAAGTAAACTGTATTACTGTATTTCTTTCATGATTTGTGCACATACTGCTCTTAGTAATAATTTATTTCTAGATATAAGTTGTATTTCTCCTTTTTAATTATCAATTGACCTGGTGGTTTCAATAAGAGCTTATGAAGACGATGCACTGTCATGTTATATTTAAAATTAGTTTTAATGGGTTTTATTATGGGCGATATTGATAAAGTATTTGTTACGGCAAGTTTGCTTTTTGTTTTCCAAAAGTACCCATTCTCTACTTTACATTACACTGACTCACTCATCACCTTAAATGATCATATGAATCTTGTTTTAAAAATATTGATTTCCTTTCAAATTTTAAAAGTTACTCAATTTTCCCCATTTAATTAATAAAAAATGAATTATAATTGATACCTAATCAATTTATCTAAATTATTATATGATTCCAATTTGGTTTCACATAGAACAGATTAATTTTTTCTATTTCAATATTTCATAGTGAAATCTTCTGTCACTTGAAATTTGGAATATTATTGGACTTATTATCTTACTGGGTATATTATTAATTAGCATAATATTATTGGATCAACTTAATAATGTGTTTTCTTTAACAATTTAGAGAAGCACTGCTATTTCTCAAGATACTACTTATAAATTATGTCACATGGGGATTGAACAACACTTTAAACCAATCCTAGATGAAATGTTAATTGAAAGAGTAGTTGGAACGAATAATCACGAATTTATAAAAACGGTAAATTTTAAACAAATTGAAATAATTAATAATCAATTGTATTGTATACAAACCAGTTGAATGTTTTTGATTTTTCTAAATTACAGTATATTGCTGAGGAAATGAAGAATAATGGTTGGGCAGTGGAGCTAGATGAATTCAAAGCTTCCACACCAAAAGGCGTGTATAATATGACTAATGTTGTGGCTACTCTAAACCCCATGGCTGATCGGTATATAGTTATTGCTTGCCATTACGATTCAAAATTAATGGATTTTTATTTTGTTGGCGCAACTGATTCAGCAGTGCCCTGTGCTATGATGTTATACATGGCAGAGTCATTAAATCAACGACTTGAAGCCTTTAAAAATACTGTAAGTTAATATAAAAATGAATATAAAACTATTATAATTATTTCTAACTTCATATGTCAACAATTACTGATCAACTTTCAAATCAATACCTAGGTAATTTATGCCGAGTTGCATGAACAGTCACCAAATATTTAAAGAATCAATTGTAAGCTAATGCCCTTATGGTTCATAAACGTGATTTAGTGGCCTATGATTGGTCCATTACATTTTATTGAACCATTAAATTAATTCATCTTTCATACAACCCGGCATTAGTTTAATAATTTTAGAATTAAATATTGTTATACGTCAAATGAAATTATTATTTCATTTAGGTATTATCTTTGTCATGTATATGCATTTGTAACTCATATAATAAATATTATTGGTATTAATATAACACAAATAGTAAGCTCTCGTTTATCCTTGAATCAGGTTGGCGCTGCAACCGTGGATAAGCGAATAATGTGGTTAATCTACAAACATTTTATAAATTTTAAAATCTTTAAAAAAAAAAAACCCAACTCCTAACAATATACAAGAACCATTAAAAACAAAGAAATAATTTTACTCCCAAAAGTGTATTACTATTCTGCAGTTGTAAGATCATGATTTAATCAATTATTAGAGAAACAAAAGAGTTGTGCCAGGGCTTAGCACTGAAATCAAAAAATAATTAATAGTTGTACTATTCAGATCAATTTGGAATAGTTATTCATGTTTCTAAATAGTATACTTTTGTAAGTAAAATAATTTCTTTCTTCTAATTGGTTTTGTGTACCGTTTTGAAGTTGGTTTTGTTTTTACTTTTTATTTCATATTTTTTAATAGGTAAAATTTATTAGGAAAAGCATGAGCTTACTAAACATGCTGCTCGTATAAGACACCAAAAATTACTTGAAATGAATTTAAAAAAATAAATATTTTTGCAGAAAAAAAAAAATTGAAAAATAGACATACGTAAAGTAAAAACCAGCATGAACTTTCACAACAGCGATGTATTCTTAAGAGGACGTGATACCCGCATGTGTTGTCTCCGTCTTACAAGTGCGTAACATAGCAAATTGTACGCTCAGCAGAACACGTGTAGCTCCGTTAGTTTAAAAATTAGTGCGAATTGACCTCTTATAAAATCTAAAGGTAAGATTATTATCTAGTCAACCTCATAGGTTTTTTATTATATTTTAATTTTAACGCGAGTTATGAGTATTTTAAAATGTATAAAAAATTTACAATTTTAAAATACTCATAACTCGCGTTAAAATTAAAATATAATAAAAAACCTATGAGGTTGACTAGATAATAATCTTACCTTTAGATTTTATAAGAGGTCAATTCGCACTAATTTTTAAACTAACGGAGCTACACGTGTTCTGCTGAGCGTACAATTTGCTATGTTACGCACTTGTAAGACGGAGACAACACATGCGGGTATCACATCCTCTTAAAGGAAACTTTAAAACTTGTGGTCATCCCCTTAGTTTGATACTTACCTATGCTTTTCAAATGAATCCTCTAAAGATGGAAATAGATTTTTCTGATTTGGATAGCAATAAATTATTTAACTGACCACACAATAAGAGATATCTTCCAGAAATAATAGGGCTACACTATTTAAGTAGCTTAAACATTATAAAAAACATATTCAACTTTTTTGGTATTTACAATATAGCATAAAATAAAGACTAGATTTCATTTATGTCGGATTAACTGACAACCCAATGACAAACACAGATAATGTTCTTAGCTTTAAGTTGAATGATAGTTTGGTAAATTCACCCTATAAAACTAATTCAAGATTGTGGTTCTCTTGAACATATAGGTTCAGGAATGTTATTATAGGAAATACTGTGAAGTCTTGTAAAAAATTAAAAGTATTATCTTAGCATGTGGTGCTTAGTTTTATTCTATGAATGTATTAGATATAATAATATTAAATTGATGTTTTAACTTTTAGTATAAATTATAACATATTATTGTTTAAAATAATTTAGCCTTTAAGCTTGATGATGGTATTTTTCGATGGAGAAGAAGCTTTTGAAGAATGGTCAGATTCAGATTCTCTTTACGGTTCTCGACATTTAGCTTCAAAGATGGAAAATACCAAATTTCTACATAATGGTCGACAATTAAATCAATTATATAGAATCGTAAGTTATTTGTTGTCTTCATAATTTTATTAACAAGTATGTAACTAAACATTTTATTATTCTTATTTTATTTTTTTCAGGAATTTCTAATGCTACTAGATTTGTTGGGCACAAAGAATCCAAAATTCTATAATTATTTTCTAGAAACTGCTGACCTATATCGATCTTTGATCAAATCTGAAACGATCTTAAACAAGACTGGTTGTCTGAATGAACATACTGATACCTATTTCCGTCCAATGTCTGCATTTGTTAAAATTGATGATGATCATATTCCATTTTACCAAAGAGGTAATACTAAAATTGAAATGCTCCTCTAAATTTGAATGTTATAATAAGATATTTGTTTTGTAGGAATTGAAGTAGTTCATATGATTCCAAATCCATTTCCAAAAGTTTGGCATAAGAAAAGTGATAATAAAGATGCATTACACATGCCAACAATATTGAACTTAATAAAAATTGTTCAAGTATTTATAGTTAGTTATTTAGAAGCACAGTGAAAAATGTTTTTTCTTTCTCCCTAGTATCTCATTTATAAATTAAAAAGAAAATTTAGCTAAGCTAAAATTAACAATTTTTTTTTATATTTTTTGACTGTTGATTTTGTTTTTATCAATTTTTTTTTGAAATTTACAGTTACAGTACATTTATTTATTATGTATGATATTATATACATACTTATCTGTATAATTGTTGAAAATTAAAATATTATTTTAAAACGTTTTCGTAAGTAAATGCTTTATTGGCAACAGATAATTGGTTTTTTTTTATTTAGCCTTGGTGACAGTGGTCGTTAGCTTTTTAAATTACAATACTTAAATATATTACATTCCTTTTTTTTTGCATAGTTAATTTTATTTTAAAATGTTATGAAAACTGTTCAGTTGTTTGGGTTGAGTGCTTCTGAATATTGGAAATTCTTTCTACTTGTAATCTACTTCCGTACATGGGGAATTCAGTTAAAATGTTTTTCACCGTAAGGGGATACTGCGACTGGTACAATAGGGGGCCTTCACTGCTTAGGTACATCAGGTGTTGGTGGTTTAGCGTGTGGTGGTATCTTATTCAATTGATTAAGATTTCTGTTTTTCTCGAGATATCAGGTGAGAGTGGCCATTTGTGTGTGTGTGTGATGTAATTTAGATGTTCTTTCGATACATCACGGTTACTACATAATGTATGATTAATCTAAGTTAGGTGAACTCTGTTAGAGTAAGAGGATACAATTGATTCATGTGCTTTTTTGTCTCATTTTCTATCCATATCAACGAAATCGAGTTTCCGAATCAGTAAGTTATGTAGTCGGTTTTGGATTTTCCTGGCAATCTCAGTTAGAGAAAAATTGTTGTCGATGCTTCTAAATGTACTTGGTGAGTTTCTGAGGTTAGCTGTTTTTTGTGTATGAGTCTTTTTTATAGGGTCCAGAACATAAAAAATTTCCGGTCCTTCTGCTGTGTAGATAGAACTAAAATTTGGGAGCGGTTTTGTGGTCTTACAGAGTTAACCATTTTTAATGTGCCTGTGTTTTTACTGTGGAATTGGGAAGTTTTTTGATATGATTAAGTTTTTGTTACATAATATAGGTGTGGTGTTTTTTAGAGGAGTTCACTTGGTGTTCTGTTGAAGTAGATGTTTGATATCCACGGTGGCTAGAGTGGATTTGTTTTTTATAACATCTAGGTAAGAATACTGAATATTTTCTAGGCCCTCTTTGATTTGCTTCATTACTTTAAGGTTATTTTGGACTTAGGGTTTATCTTGTAGCGAGAAGCATGATACCTTGGGTCCTTCTAACGTTGAGGGGGTGTTACACTTTCAATATTAAGAAGGTTAGAGTGAATTCATAGACATTATACTATAATAAACAAATAAATAATGTCAGTCACGGGAATATAAAAATGTTAATAATTGATGTAAGTATATTTTTTTTGTAATTCCTGATTATTTTGAAAAGTACTGAGGATATTTTACTCCTCACCAGGGCTAGGTTAGATGGATACAATTTGGTAACACCCTTCAAAGTATCAAATCAAATCATTTTTTCTACCTTAAAAGTGTAATAAAAAAAATAATAAAAAACACATTGTCTTGATCAAAATCTAAATTGTATTACAACAAATTATAAATACAGGTTTATTGCGATAGTTGACATAGTAGAGCAACTCCTCTCATTATCCAGTGTTCTGGCTGTTTAATTGTTGGTACCAATAAAGCAATAACAAAGTTAGTTGAATGCCCTGTTGTTGATAATGTCCCTTTTCTTTCAGCCGTTTTGTACAATGGACATAAATAAACAGTGTCGAATTTTAAATCTTCTTTTTTTATTGGTATCATGTGAATTATTGGCATCCTGGAGTATAGTTGTTTTAACTTACACTCTTTAAGACTTGATTTTTTATTACTCCACCTGGCCCCATCCAAAAATAGTCCATAAATATAAACACCATTTTCTGGTGCTGAATTTACTGTCATATTTCTATCCATTATCTAGAAACATAATTTTATGTAAACAATTTAGTAGTAAAAACAATATTACCAGTACTTAAAAAGTTTTAAAAAAGAGGTGACAAAACTCTACACTCCATCATTCCACAATTTATTTATTTATAAACACATAATACGTATACATTCACACAGGACAAACTTTTACATAGTAACAGATGGTAGCATTAAGCCATTATGGTTACTTTTTAAAACTTTTAGGCCCTGATTGTGACTATTACCACCAGTTTATAATACACTTACCAACTTCAGATTTTAAGTGTGTAAGGGAGCTATTGGTATTAGAACTATGTTTCATTTGAACTTTGTTATTGAGTTTTATCCTAATATATGCTTGTATGTTTAAAAGAGTGCCATTTACCTTATAATCAAAGGTCAACAAATCTATAGGAATCTGATACTTTCTTGCATAATTTTGTTGGGATCCGGTTAAAAATGCTTGTGTAAAATATAAGCCGGAAATCCAAAAAGAATTTGGAGTACCATGAACATACCATTTCTATAACAAAAATTCAAATCATTCAATGTGATATATGATAGTAAATAATCATAGAATTAGAATTTAATTTACTTGCCTGTAAAAATGCCAATCGCTGCAAGAAATCTTTAATATAACTTCCCAATGGTTTTAGTGATGGATATGAACTATTAGCCCAAACCACAGGAATTTTACTTACTAAGATACTGTGATAGACTTCTTCTAATTCATTAGACATTAAAATTAATCCTAGACATAAAATAACAATTAAGTCTTACTCTAATCAAAACTAAGAATTTGAATTATATAATTAATATTTAAGCTAATTACAATATTGATTTTTGATATTGTATCACTAAATAGTAAGTAAAAGATGCAATATTGTTATTCATAAGTAACTTAATATTTTTTAATGTTAAACAAGAAATTGTTGATTTAGGTAGCTTGTTTTTGTGGTAATTACCTACCAGATATTTAAAAGATACAAGAATAGGTATTCTATTAGGATAGATTTAGAATGTAGTCTTTTAAATAAAATTAACAGATGGAAATAAAAATGAATGTATAATATTTTTAAATGTATTTATAAATTAAAAATATAGTTGAAAAATATTCAATAGGTAAATCAAATTAAATAGTAGGTAGGTAGATCACTGACATGCAATAATATCAGGTTTAACAGTACCTTTAACACTTCTCTGTAAGTTTGCCAGGCTAAATTTAATGACATCTAATAGTTTGTTAAACCGACCCATTTCTTGCACCAGAACTGTATTCATAGATTGATTGTAAGTGGTAGGATATTTTTCGAGAGCGAGTGTAACGTCAAAATTGTTTGGTAATTTGTTAAGTACGTCTGTGGAAAATGTCAAAATCAGATCTTCGGACGATACTCCTTTGCCGCCGGCAGTTTTTGAGTCCTGCAAAATCCACAAAAATTGCTTTAAACTTAGATATAAAAACTAAATTATTTGCAATTATTCCTATCTGGAGGTAGTAGGTACGGTTTTAAAAAATAGTAATAAATTCAAATATCAAATGAGCCATTCTCGTCTTAACAATGTAGCATAACACATTACTGGGTGATTTATTATGGTTTTGATTAAGTAATACAAACAGCTATAAAGTGGCTTGGTGTTTAAAGCCTTGCCACACATACATGAGTTGCCAAAACAACCGCACCAATACCCCACAAAAACCGTAACACCTACAATAGGTAATGGGAATAGTTGCCGGGCTCAAGACCAATAAAAAAAAAAACAGACTGAAGAAGATAATTCGTTATATAAGTGCTCACGATTCGCGTTCCGCAATAAGTAGGTAGGTGCCTACATTGTACTTAAATGTAGTAGAACTGTAGAAGTATTCGCGACCTAGCAAGTACAGTAGTACTTTGACACTTTGGACTTACCTATATCATTTATAGTGATTATTATAGGGCTCGAATTTAAATGACCTAATAGCCAACCTTTTAACAAATTCATTTATGACTCAAAAACTCTAAAAGATTCTCCGAAATTGGCCCAAGATTTCTTCAAAAATCGAGATAAATTTGTCGATCGTTTAATTTAAAAACCAGATTAAAGTGTTGTTATTACTATTAAATTGATTTAGTACAATATTTATAGGTATATATATTATTTTTTTTCGCATTATTACCAGAAAGGGTTAATGACTTAAAACAGTAAATAATGCCCTAAAAAGTTTAAAAAAATGCATCAAAAAAATGTATTGCTAGCTAAGTGGGTACTTGAAACACATTTGTATCTTGGCAAGTATTGTGTCAAGCATTCCAAAAAAAGATGCAAATGCATCGAAATCCGAACCCTAGTATTTACTAATTTGGTGGTTATAAATGATTACCTACCAAGGATGATTTAAATTTAAATTTAAATTTAAGTTGTTGATACTTACGTTATTAAATTGAAATTTTTCCCATAAATCCTAATGTATAATAGCAGCATGATAAAATAAAATAGATAATACAGATATACAATGGTTACTCAAAAATAATAAATATATAGGAACCTGCTAATAATAATTAGAACAGAAAGTGAAAAATATTATTTATACTAGCTACTCCTAAAATGCAATAAAAATGTAAATAAATGTAATGATTTATATTGTTGGATAATTTTTGTTATGAATACATAAACAATTTTACAGCTTGATAGTTAATACTTAATAATATTAATGTTACTCACGACTCGGTCCTATATGTGGCAATGAAAGTAATTTTTAAAAACAAATGGCATAAATAATTGCATGTAAATTAAATTATTAACTAAAACAATTAATTTACTTGGGTCTTAAGAACGGAATTAAGAATCAATTCGCTCTCTTGCCGCTCTCTAATGAGATCAGCATTTTCATGCAGACCAAAAATCTCAGGTTTTGTGACCAACGGAAATCCTTGAATGTGTTCTAAGATTTGGTCGTATTCTTTTGAATCAGGACAGCAATAAACTCCTAGAATAACAAAAACACATTGAAAGTACACGGTTACGTGCATAACAATAGATATTTTTCATCGCATAATTAAAATGCAATAATATTGTCTTACCAGCCTTATCAAACTTGAAACTATCCGTTTTAATAACCGATTTAGTGTAAAATTTGTGTAGACATGTGGTCAAACAACGACGATCCCAATCGTCTGTTACACGTCCACCGTAGTTGCATTCACCGGTAAGATAACGCAAGGCATCGAACTGGACGTTTGGATATTCGTTCAAAAAATTCTGCAATTGCACTACACTGATTCTCAGGTCAGTTTCGTTGAACTCGTACAGTCTATTCCATCCGATTGGACCATAATTGCGACGTTCTTGGACCAATGCATGAAAGAAGCACAGGCTGAAGATCAGTTTCTTAAAACTTACACCTTGCACTTTACAACCCTCGAAAAATTCTTCATTTGTAATCGGATCACTAGTAAATGATCTGAAAAATGCACGTTAAATAATAATTAAAATAACACCACAAATATTTGAAAACGTACCTATCTAAAATTTAAATATATCCATAGTATATTATAATACCTACCTATGTATATTGGCCCGAAGTCCTTTTGGTGGTTCATTAGTCATCTTAACGCTATTTTGAAGTACAGACACAGAAAAATATTCCACGGGATAAGATGTTAACCAAAGTCTAAACTCAGAATTAGTATTTTCGACCGAAAAACTTTCACAAATCTAAATAGGTTTACATTTAAATATTCATATATCAATTATTAATTAATAATTAGCAGTGATTAAAATTAAATGAACGACACAAGGCGGCCGTTATTGTTATTATTATAATGCTATCTATATCTCATATAATTAGTCATAATTCATAAGTCATATAAGTATCTAATTTAAATGAAACTTAAAATTTAAATTTTATATGATAAAGTTATGAATAAGATTTTTTTTTTAACAATTGACTAACCTTTTCAAGTTCAGGCATAAAACTTTTGGCTAAATGACAGTTTTGCAACAATACCCAATTGCCTGTTCTTATTGCTTCTTCAATTAATCTTGTAGCTATGGGGCCTTGACCTTGACCTAATGACAATGATGTTAAACGATAACCAAAGCCCTGAAATTTACAACCATTTAAATTAAATTATGACGTGTATATACAATTCAGAATATTGTAACAATCAATTTAATATTTATGATTATGACCCATAAGTGATGAGTTATGATAATATTTTACTTATGAAAGGCAGAAGATGTAATACTAGCAACAAAGATTTAAACTAAAATTTAAATCAAAATTCAGAATCAACTTTTTTCTATACAATTTTAGATTCTGAGCGAAGCCTGCAGGACTATATTGAATTTACAATGTTCATTGATTTTTTATTTTTAGTATTTATTGTGGTATTGTGTCACTAACACCACAAAAAAAATTCTTCAATTTATAATTTTTTTTCGGTAGTCATGTGAAAGTACCTAGTTGGTTCTTTGAGGATCGAAAATTAATAAAAAAAAAAGCCCGGTACTTTTCAAAAAAATTATGAAAAACAAAACAAAAATCGGGAAAAAAGTAAATTTTTAAGCTAAATCAGTTTTCGACTGTTTTCAAAATAAATGTTTTTATTGAAACCAGTTACTTGAAATACTCGCCAAATGTATATAATTGCATTTTCTATAGATGGTATTATAATTTTTAAAATATTATGATAATATTTTTATACTTTTTTTGAGTTATTTATACATATTTAAAATGTTTGATTATTTTTTGGTGTTTTTATAAAAACATATTATGCTTGGTCATAAAGCTTGCAAATGCAATTCAAGATTCCTAAAAAGTTGTTAATCCTGAACATTGAAAGAAAAAGTTGAGTAAACTCGCAAATCTACAATATTATTGTATATATGAGCTTTGACGAACTTCGATATTCACGCGTAAAAATATGCTTACAGATCGATCGTCTCCACTCAAAATGGTCTTTCGTATGCAATGATTTATCATTGAATTAAAATTTATCACATTCATTACAGAAGGTAACTTGATCAATAGGTACGAGGACGGAGGATTATTCAACTTCTACGTCCTACACAACTTTATGTCTGTACGACAAAGCGGTTACCTAATACCTACCTATACTTGCCCGTGTTTTTGTTACTTTTACGCCGTCTTTATGTACATGCATTAAGGTTAAAAGGTTTACTATAAAACAATTGTGCTCAGTTAAATTTACCATTTTATCAGCATATTTAATTAACATTGATGTAGGATCAGCGCCAGGAGTTAGAATGAATATTAAAGGAGTCACACAATTTGAACTTTCAAAAGATGCAGCTAAATCAAACGGCGGCGGTTCAATATATTTACTTTCCAAAATTGATTCATCTAAAAACAAGTGAAAAACACGTTTATGTATTTTGTATAAGTAATAAAGTATTCATATAGGTTACTTGATATAAGGTATTGAATTGCAGGTACTATTTTGTCATATCTAATGATCCGTAATACGATGCACTTTTGAAAATAGTTTAAATCCGTGTTCCAAGGTTCCGGGAAATCCATCAAATGTGGTTCAGGTGAATCATAAATCTGTTTCCATTTATCTTCATTGTTCTCAAAATCAACTCTTATATTCTTTGATTTTGAAATTTTAGGTTAAAGAACAGCCGCAGCCACCATATTTAGAACATATTATTTATTATTTATTCCTTAAATTCGTAAGTGAAAATTGACTAACATATTTAGAAAAGCCAATATCCCTATAGCTTTCATACAATACAAAACGTAATAGGTATTAAAAAAAAAATTTGGGTTACTTATACAATTTTCTCTAAATCAATACTCCCCATTATTGGTTTTTACGTTCAAATTAGTCATATTAGTTTATTTAACATCTATATAAATAAACATCATTACTAAAATAATGTCTGTTGAATAAAGTTCAACGAACTTTCATAAAAAAAATTTTTCTATGAAAGGAGAAGTTAGTATGGTTAACAAATAATAAATAATAGTTAAACTTTTAAAGCTATGATAGTATAATACAATTTTAAATAATATTTAATATTATAGGTACACAACAGACGTCCGCAGTCTCACAATTAGTATGTTATATAATATATATATTTTTTAAACGGATTAAAAGAATAATGACAGTGATTCATTATTATCTGTTAAATATTACATAATTAGTTATCGGTTATAGGTATCGTTCCTAATTCATATAGTAAGATATATAAGTTATTATTATTTATTAAGATATCAGACTATTGCTGTAGCATAAATTATTGTTGCACTTAATATATTTAAACAATAAGTATATTAGCTAGCTCCTACCAATTTAATGTTAATATATTTTAGTTATGAAAAACATTTGTTTCATTACTTTAGTGGTTTGTTGGTTTTGTTAGTTGTGTTACAATGATTGTGTGTATTCGTAATTCACAGTGCCGTGTGACGATTTACTATTCAAAAGTTTAAAAAAAAGATTTATAAAGGATACACAGAATTTAAAAAAAAGAGTAGAAGACCATTAATATACCACTACAATACATACTAGTCCCTACTATCTAATGATATATTAAGTAAAATAATTGTTAGTATATATTTTATAAAATGTGCCTTTAAAATATTTGACTTAAAATAATTGCGATTGCTTAAATAATAATCTTAAAAAGTTTAACATACTTTAAATTTTGGTAGGTTATCAAGTCTGCAAAGTTCATCCCATCTTATGTCTTGAAGCCAACTAATTTTATTTGTTATTTGATTATCTAAGCTTACGCCTCCGGTCAAAAAAAAAAGCCACTCTTCGGGATTTATTTCTGACGATAATCTGACAGCCATAATTAACGAAAATAGAAGTTTATCCTATAAAAACAAAATAAATGAATTATTTTAAAGAGTTTGCACTTAAAATAAAACTGAATAATAACTTTTTCGAATAAACTTCTGCATATATTGACATACAAAGAATAAGTGAAATGGTTTGTTAGTGCTTTTGTACGTTCTTCAATTTTTTCATATTTAGGACTATTTTCTATAGACATCACAAACAAATTTATAAACCATGTTAGTGAATATTGATACATTGGATCAATGTTAGTTAATGAATCAATTATAAAAAACAGTGTTGTAGAATATGTAGCAACAGGTTTGTATTGGTGTCTAGTTTTATCGATAGTTCGTTCAGTAATTTTGGCCTTTGATTGTTTAACTTCAATTTCATTAGCAAGAGTTTTTGATGAACTTAATATATTTACAGCTTCTTCGTCTTCTAAGATATTACCTTCAGAAGAACTTAAAACTTGCAAAATTTTATCTTCAATATCTTTTAATGATCTAAAAACGACACAGACACAATGTTTATTTATTTAATTATTACAAATGGACAATATTTAAATTGTTGTTTACTTGGCATTTTCAGCTCCTTGTATTATAAGCTGATTTTTTTCTGCTTCTAAATCAGGTCTATCTTTAGCAACGACTACACCTAATAACTGATCTTCAAACCCAATTGGAGTTATCACAAAGTTTAAAAGAACTACTTTAACTGATATATCTGGCAAGTAGTGAGGATTTCTAAGCTTTGTTGTAATGTATAGCCTAAATGTAATCATTATAAAAAACTTTATTTGTTTATAATTCTATAGTCTGTTCAGCGGTAGAACACGCAGATCCTGTGCACAGGGCAGCTATCGAAACCGGTTCCCTTACGGAGTCTTAAGAGACTGCGCATAAAAACCGATTGTCGTCGCGCCGTTCTCTCAACGTTGAACAAAGTATAATATAAATACTAATTCTTATGTATTAATTATTAATAATTAATATCAAATTGTAATAAAGAGTAAACAATTAAACGCAGTATTACCTGAATCTATCATTAAACTCAACAATTGTTTCTCCTAATTTTAAACAATATGTGCCTCCACATATAAACACTTGAGATAATAACACAGGGTCCAAAACGGGATCTAATTCTTCATAAATATTTTCCAACAATACCTGTTAATTTTTTATGGTTTTATGATTGGCACATATTTATTTTAATGCTAGTATTTGTTTTCAATTATATTCTTACAGGTGTTCCATTGGCTATAGCATGTTCTAATATTTTTGTATAATTCGGAGTAGTGAATCGTATAATACTTAATGAATTATCTGCCTCCATATTTTTTATCCATTTGTTTGCTTGAGATTGAGGATCAATCATAAGCGCTGATCGTCTAGAATTTCTACGGTAAAACAATTCAATCAATAATAAAATAGAATATATACTTATTTACTAATTGTTTAAAAGATATTAACTTACACTACAATGATTCCATTATCTGTAGAGAATAAGTCTGTAGGTAGTCCAGCTATGTTCCATGCTCTGATATCAACTGCATTTCCTAGAACAGTACTTAGTTGATAATTTTTTGCACACACTAAATCATTATTGACTATGTCTTGAAGCCATTGTTTTATTTGTTTATTTCGAAAATCCATAGTAAATGGACCCAAATATGCAATGATACCAGAACTTAGCAATATATCTCCTAAAAATAGGTTTAATTAAAATTTTTCATCCTTGAAAACGATTATTTTATGAATTGTCTTATTAACCTGTAAGATTTAGGTATGACTTTCCAAGATCTATTGCCATTTGTGCCCATCGTTGTTTTTCACCACCTAAACCACCAATTAATTCTTCAGCTCGCTGAAGTTTCGTTTGCACATTATTAGCTTCATCCTGAAATGCTTTCATTTTATGTTCATTTTCTTCAAGATCTTCTTGAACAGCTTTCATTTTTTTTTCAACTTCAGCAAGCTGTTCACGTTTACCATTTAGTGCACTCATTGCATTATTATATACTGCCTCAGCTTCTGCAAGTGCTAATTTTTTTGGTGCAACTTCTTTTGCTACAACATCATAACTTGACATGGCTATTATCCATTTACACAATCCTTCGGCAGCAACCGAAGCATATTTTATTTTATTAGGATCAAATTCGGGGTTATTTATATATCTTTCATTGATAACTTTCATTATTTTTGGTGGAATATTGTCTTTATCAAAATTGATTAAATGCTCTAAAAATTTCATATCATTTAACAGTTTTTTTGATGCTACCCAATAATCATCTGTTGTTTTCCCAGTAGTTGGATCCATGATTTTTTCAGGTTTCACATCTTTAATAATGCACACAGCTTCCATAGCTAATTTTACTGGCCTTGGTGGATTTTTCATAGATTTTACAAAAGTGATGTCATTAGGTGTCAAGGTATTGAGTGCCGCTAAAGCATTATTTAATGCTGGTCTCGCAGCTTCCATGTGAAGATCACACTCGTCTTTGATCTTTTGCGCTCCTTCTGCTGTTTCCTGAGCTTCTTCTTCATCTTTTTTAATTATTTGTTTTACTTTGGAAATTTCTATGTTTTCTTTTTCAACTTTTTGCATTATAACTTTTACCTCTGCTGCCGCAACCATAATTTTTGGTTGTAAGTCTTTTAATTCTTCTTGCATTATTGATATATCATCAGCAGCAGTTTGTAATTTTTCTAAACCTACTTCATATCGACGTTTTGCCATTAAAATCTCCCTATTAAAGTAATTTTTCGATACAATAAACAATTATCTGTTTTAAACAATGTACTTACTGTCTTTTTTTCCCCAATAGATCTTTAAAAGTAGACATTAGTTCTAAATATAACGTAGGAGTAACATACGTTTTACGTTGTGATCTAACTTCAAATTCGATAGATAAATTTTGAGACGATAAATGAAACTTTTGACACATAGTAACGCAAACATTTCGTTCATGTTCAGTTAAATCAATTGCGTCTAAGAAATTTGTTGCTACAGCCAACAAAGCATCTGATGGCCAGTTCTGTAGATAAACGTAATTTAGTAATATTTTAGTCTATTGATAGAGTAAAGTGTAATATTTGAAACCAAATAAAACAAATAATTTTAAATAATTAGCATCATGTAGTATAATATTACATATAATACCTATGCAGAAAAAGAGCCTGTTAAATATTAAATAATAATTGAATATTCTTTTGTCAAATTCAATAATTACAAAAAAAAAAAATGTTAAAATATTATGGAAATAAAATCTTTACCTGAAACCAATTAATGGTACAACATTGAACTAATGATGGGAACTTTCTTATTCTTGTACGAAAATCATTTCCAATTGGACTGAAAGCTAATACTACATGCAGTTGTTCTTTCACAATTTGAATAAAATAGTTAAATACAGCTGTCATACTTCCATCAGTCTAATAAAAATAATAATGACTAGTATTTCCAATAAAATAAAAAAAGATAGTGATGGTTGTTATTTTGTGGTTTAAGTGCTGCCTTCGCAGTACATAAAAAATTTATTTGTAAGGTTTTAATTTTGAGTACTGAGATTTAGATGGTAAATTTTGAATATTTTAGAATTATTAATGCTTAGTAATTCTAGGGATTATTGTCTGATAGGTCTCCAGAAATATTAACACTTATTTTTAGGATAGTAGCCACTGAGTTTTAACTTTCTAAGATATAATATAATATACAATAATACCTGGATAGATTTGTCACGCTGCTTGTCTATAAGAAGGATTTTATCGCACAGTTCTATCTTTTCGTCTATTGTATACAAATTTGGTACTTCTCCTGAATTTAATAAGTTATTTATATCTTCTACCATACTTTCCATTTTAATCTAAACAAATTACAATCATATTTTTATAAAAAAAAATATAAATACAAAATCAAATCTTAAAAATGTATTTATTAATATTTATAGGTATTAAATACTCAAATGTGTGATACCTAAATTCTTCTAAACTTGCCTCATTCCGTATTACAAGTAAGTACTCACAAGGCTATTCCACAAAGAGAGGCAGGACAAGGGACTGAGCCGGCTGGACGCCACTGCTGCAAAGGCCTCATTAATCACTATTCGTTTTGTAACACGGTACCTACTGAAAACATTTCATCCAACGACCGTTTAATATTTTATGAAAAATATATCGTCATACCAACACAATATTGAGTTACAAAACGAAGAGCTTGGCCTTTGCGCTGGACCGTACGTCCAGACGGCTCAATTCCTATTCTTCCGCTCTACCTCTCCTCATAACGGGACCGTGGGAAAGTCAACCTAATCACGTTGTTCCTCTCCCGTGGTTAGTGGCGGTTGAAAAAAAGCGAGCATCGATGGTACCCAGCAGTGCTTGTACTAGCACCTTCCATGTACTTCTACTTGCAACTGCTATAACGCGACACTCAACAATTCTAAAAATGCCAATCCTCTTTATCCGTCTCTCACGATTGAAACTGATCTAAACTTCAACAGGTCCTTGTTTAATGCATCCATTAATGCTCCAGAATATTTTGTTGGGGGTTTATACACAATTCCCTATCATCTCACTTGTAAGTTGTAACCTCACCCTACTGAGGACGGGCAGCATAATTGCACGCTCCTTAGCCTTAAATTCCTCATAATTATCCATAACTATTCATTAGTCATCATTAAAATTACTTCATATTTTATCATATGTTTTATAAATGTCCGTCTTCATATGAACTATGCAAATAAAATAAATAAATACAATTTACTTCGGAGTCGTTGAATAAAAATACAACATGTTGGTCTAAACTAGATACTGCACGCCCAAGTATATTTTTCAAATCTTCTTGCCATTCATTAGTTCCATACAAACGCGTCATTTGTACCTAAATTTAACCATACATATTATCAAATTAAAAAGGTAATTATAATTGTTGAACCTGAAACAAATCATATTCTGATATGTGAGCAGCAAGCCTTGTTAGTGACTGGCGGCCTGATCCCCCCAACCCAACTAGTAAAGCGTGTCCTCGAGGTTGCTTTAGAATTCGACAAATCCGTGAAAGATGTTCAATAGCAAATCTAAATAAAACTAGATGCATGGGTTTCTTGCTCATGTTATTAAATTCATTTAAGTATCCTTCAACGATTATTCGAAGGTTATTCAAATTGTGTACTTCCATATAATTTCTAGTGTCCGCTTTGGGATTGGAAAAATCGCAATAAATCAACTGTCTTAATTCATTTTGACCCACCTATAATTTGATAATATATTTTAGCTATATATTTTAATTCATACAATAATTCGATATTAATTTAAATTTACAGTTTCATTTGGCCCATTAATTAAATGACTGAATATATCATTTATATTTTCTTTTAAAATCCCTTTGCAAACTGCACTTAGGTTTTGAAAAAACCACGAACAGTCGGAGTCATCTACCAATCGATCATAATATACCCTAAGAATTTCGTGAATCCAGAGTCGTTTCATAGCAATGGCATCTTCAATAGTTTCAGGAACAGAAAACATAACCCCCTTAAAATAATATTCATGTTAATTACCTACTTTTTTTAGTTCACATTTGTATTAATAGTTGAAATATTGAACCTGTATGACTTTTGAAAAATCTCTCAAATTGAATAAATAATGTGATTTAGAAGGAGTTGGAAGTAAATGAATGATGCTTTTCTTATGAAGTTCCAATGTTGAATTAACTAACTGATGCATGCACAAATCAAACTCTCTGCTAAAACCTCTAAATATAAAACAAATTAACATATGAAACATTTATACTTTATAGGTACTTCAAATTTCCATACCTTGTATCTAAGTGCCATAATAGTATTTTACTAAATATCGATACCATGGTTGAATCATCGAACTCGTTTATAACTACAACATTAAAATGTCGACTAAACCTTGGAGAAACTGTATTTCCTGTCGATGGTGGACCCATAGCACAAATTAATAATACATCTTGAAGAGCCATTGGCACAAGCTCTTTACGGTCATACCACGGAAATTTATCTAAGAACTGCCTTAAAAGTTCAATGGGTGGCTGAGCCCCGTAATATTCTTTTTGGGGCATGCTAATGTCATCAATAAAGATAATACACTTTGTACCAACTGGAGGACCAAATATCCCTCGTCTTCTCTTGATTAGCTTATTCATAATTATATCTTGAGTTAAATTAGCCGATGTATGCGCTGAGAAATTAATAAATGAAGATTGATATAAAGTTTTATCAATTTTTTTGAATAAGTAGTTCTGAAATAATTAAACAAATATATATTAAATAATATACAATATCTAAAACTATATATCTATTTAAATATACATATACGTTTTTTATATATTTATTACCATGATGTACGTTGATTTTCCAGTTCCAGTTTTTCCAACCGTCATCATTGGCAAATTATGTTTAATCAACATTGACATAATAACTTGATGTCTAATTACATCAATTGTTGGCACTAAAATATCATTGAAAGGTATGCCTTGAGGTATAGGTGGTGCTTCTGTTACATAATCTGACCACAGCTTCCACTCTCCTTTACCTTGACCTTCTAAAATATATCTATAATCGAAGACTGAATATTCTTTAGGAGGAAAATTTGTGTAAGCTTTTTTCGGAGAAGAACATAGTTCAATAGGTAATTTGAAAGATCGGGTGACTTTATTAGGAAATTTGTTTTCCAATAATGCTCGAAACAAAATATTAAATTTGGCTCGACTCGGTGCATCAAGAGTTGCTCCCATTGACCAAATACACGAAAAGAAAAATATACCCTGAAAAATTTAATTTTTGTATTGAACTAAACAATTTTTGATATAATTTAAAATCACTTCAAGCTGAGCTCTAAGATCAGATTGCGAAACTGCCTTCATGTGTTCTTCATTACTATATAAATCCATAAACGTTTCACAAATATTTGTTAATGATCTAATAAGATTTGAATCGTTGGACGGAAAAACTTCCTAAACAAAAATTAAAACATAAAGTACAAGTGATAATTATTTATTTAAGTGCCTAATACTGTAATATTGCATCGTCTTATGAAGTATAAAATCGGATAGCTAAATCTCAAAATAAGTGATTGCAACATCTGTTTGTAATGAGAAGTTATGTTTGATGATAGCTGCTTAATCCATGATTGCAATAAACATTCCCAACCTAATGCAGTTGGTTCCATTAAAATCATTCCACATCTAGATACCTATTAAAAAAATTATTTTTGGACTATTTTTAGTGAACACTTGATACTTGGTAAAAATAATAATATAACCAAATTTGTTGCAGATTTACCGTTGCAGGGGATGCTACATCTAAATCCATTGGTTCAAATATCAAATTAGTTGTATTAGCAAGTTGAATGATTTCACCAGATATTAAGCAAAGTTTTTTGTTGTCATCGAGTACCGTATTCATACTTTCAATCCATATCGCATCAACTGGACCATCAAACAACAGCCATTTTCTATTCAAGTTTTCAGATGATGCAAATTGTCGGAATCCAACAGCTATAATACCATCGAACCACTCATGTGATATCATATCAAATTGACCGTACAATTGACCCAAAGTTATTGACTTTGGATTAATAACCATAATTTCAACTTTATGTTCATCCATTAATTTCTAACAAAACAAACTAAATTTTAATCGAATGCATTGTATTATTAAAAGCTATACATTTTTTATACAGTGACATAGAAATAGTAAAGAAGTTATATAATTTTTAAACTTATTAATTTTTTATCTCTATGTAAACCAGTACTACCTTTAATATGGAATTTGGAATTGTTAATTATGGTTGACTATTTACTTAATTACTAATTTTTTAAGAAATATAAATTGAAGTAAGTATTAAAAATAATATTTCTGTTGTTTAAAATAAGGTAATAGGGAACTTATGTATTTAATTTAGATTTTACATAATTGATTTACATACCTTTTCTTCAATAATTGCTAATGCACCTGCAAGTACCCTATATGCCGAGGTTTTACCACTAAATGGCAGTCCTACTATCATAAAACCATGCCTTACAATCATCATTTCATAAATTTGTTGTATTTTCTCTAAGAAGTACGATGTACACTGAAGATTTAATTTTTTACATGATTCTTCAACACACATATTTAATATTTCATAATCTGGTTGTGGTAGCACAATACCAGGAAATAAATCTGATACTAATCCCTGCAAATAAATGTAACTACAATTTTATAACATAAACTAGGATAAAATTCAGAATGATTTTTGTATTATATATAATTTTACTTTTTTTAAAACTCTTAACATTATATTATACTAATATATAATCTATATAGGTAAAATAACTATTTAGTCATAGTTAAAATATTTTCATCTCAAATATTAAAGGAAACATCATAATTTATTGTATACAATGTGATTCATTAATATAAAATATCTATTATTTCAAAAAAAATTAACGTAAATGTTCGAAAAGAAGTACAGTTATAATTTTATAAGTTTTTACATTTATAGGCCACAACATTATACAAATTTTATTTTAATATCCGAAGCAAACAACCATTTGGAGTATTTTTTATGCATAAAAATCGAAATTCAGACGAGTTTTAAATTATTAAGAGTGGAGTAATGGACCAGCATTTTTCTGTAATCAACTCCGCTCATCACATAACCTACTAGTCCAAGTTTTGATTTTTATGTGTCGAAGAGACGAAGTATTCCAAAATATGTTCTGCTTTGGATTATAAAATTAAAACTGAGTGTTGTCAATGGAATAAAAAAAAATTTTTTTTAATGTATTTTATTCATATAAATTAGAGTATCTATTTGTGCTAAAAGTTATTTTTTATTATGTTTATTGTTTAGGAAATAAAATTCGCGGTCTTAAATAAAAAAACCACCGAATAAATTATACTAAGTAGTTTATGATAAAATAATCAACTTGCAGTACCTACATCAAACTAATTTTTTTTTTTACTTTAAAAAGAGGAATATCATGCCCGAGAAATTTTGGTAAGTTGACATCATTGATAGACCGCAGGATAAGTATATTTTCGTCTTCTTCTGGATACTTTAATTTTAAATTACCAGCCGCTGTTAAAACTGTTTTCACTGCTCTCATTCCTACAATTAAATTTATTTTAAAATATTTATGGACTATAGTCTTAAGTCCATCGATTTTACTAACCATAGTCATAATGATTCTGTGATGAGAGTTGTTCAGAACACAGTTTATAAGTCACCACTATTTTTACTGATAACGACCGCGCTGAATTAAATCCTTGAGAGTACAAAACTATTTCAGATATGAGTGCATAATCTGGTACCATCATTGCTACTGGACGAAATAACGCCTACGTAAAATAATTGTATGTAATTAAAAATAATAGTCATCTAAAAATGAATAAGACTTAAACTGATTCACAACCCAATCAATTTATAAAAATAGGTAATTACTTTTAAATTATCAGGCAACTCTGAGCGTCCGGCATATCCAGGGTTCATGGTAATAAATACAGCACAAGTTTTATCTAATATCAATGAAGAACCTTCAAAATGTATTCTAGTTAGATCTGCTTGTATACCGCGTTGAATGGTTAATATTTGTTGAGCAACAACCGATAATACTTCCAACTCAATACGATTGAATTCATCAAAACACGCCCAGGCACCACAAGACAATAAACCCTTAACGAAATAATAGTCATACAATTTGTTAATATTCTATCTCCTTCATCTTACTTTAAAAAACTTTCCTAAACCAATGTAATCCATGCTATCCGAACAATTGAATACGACACACTGTTTAGATACCGCTTTTGCTAAATCTTTTGTAGTCTCTGTTTTTCCAGTACCAGCAGGTCCTTCTGGCGCACCTCCCAAATTTAGTTGTAAAGCACAAAATAAAGTACGATAACAACGATCAGTTAGGGGTGTAATTACTAATCTTGGTGAATTACCAAGATATTCATAACCATATCTTAGAGAAGCGTTAATCATAAATGCATCCAAATCGCCTTCCTAAAATATTAAGTGTTATTTATTAATATGTTGTTTGTTTAATCAGTGGCGCCCAGATAGGTTAGCAAGGGGTGCAACTGCATGTGCTCTCGTGGGGGGTGGGTGGTTAGGTAGGTATAGACGCCTATGGTTATAGGTACCTAGATAAAGTATAGGTAAACAATTAGTAACAGTTCAAAAGAACGTTTTTTTAAATAAAANGTATAGACGCCTATGGTTATAGGTACCTAGATAAAGTATAGGTAAACAATTAGTAACAGTTCAAAAGAACGTTTTTTTAAATAAAAAATGGGTGGGTGGGTCACTTTTGTTAGTTGCATGTGCTCTCAAAATACTTCTGTGCGCCACTGTGTTTAATTAATATATGCTTACTATCCAATAATATCGCAGTTGACAAAGCCAATTAAAATCATTTGTCTTATGAACATCTTTTCTAGTCATATCTTCCACGACATCTTTTGCGTGAACATCCATTACAACTAAGGCTCCTTTGATAAAAATAAAATAAATACCTACTTTATTCATTAATTTATTTAATTTGAAATCTAACCTAAAGTTAAACGAGTTTGTTGAGATAAGACGCCTCGAACTAATTTAACTATTTTGTCTATTTGATCATTGCACTTCATCAAATATCGAGGTAAACCTAGAGGATAACGTAATATAGCTTGTGTGACTTCGGATGTCCAATGCGTGCAAGAAACAGCTAGAACGGCTTGTCCAGGCCACTGGATGACCCATTCTTGCCTTAAAGTATTTTTATATGCAATTAACGCTTTTTCAATTACTTCACGTACAGTCAATTTCATAGATATTTCTAAATCTACGAGCCATTTTTCAACTTGACCTCGAGCTCTTGCAGTATCCACAACCATTGATAAATGTATAATTTCTTCTTCGCTAGATATCATACTAATTACATCTTGTTCAATGGTAAACTTTAGCTTGGCAATTCCTTCAAAACACTTTTTTAAATGTGGTTGCACTCTCGTCGGATCTTTTGTTTCAGATAGAATTTCAAGAAGTTCATCATTGGATAGGAAAAAAAATCTTGGGAAGTACAACCGTTTCTTTTCTAAATAATCATTAAGACCTTTTTGAATCAACTCCAATAAGCTATTGCTTTTTTTTAATTTGTCTAAAAGTTTATCAATATTTATAGACAATATAACTTTTTTTATTTTTTGTGCTTCTTTTATCATATCTCTCCAAACCTAAATTCAGAATACTTTTTAAGTATATAAAATGTTTTTAATATTTACAAAAAGAAATACTTTATCGACGACATTGAATCTTCTGGATTCTTCAGGCATTTGTGTTTGTATGTCTGGTGAGGAAAATATGGGCTCTAAATACATCCAAGTGATTTGGACTTTAATCCAGTAATCTAATATATCATTTAAGAGATGTAATTTTGCTTCCCAATTTCTAATTAAAATAATAATAGATGATAATAAAATATTTTGTTGAATTACTATTTTATTAATATTTATAAAAATAATTTACTTGATATTCTCTTCAAACGGTTTTATGAATGGTGAATTTTTCATGGTTGTGGTTTTTAGTATATGATCATCAAGCAACAGTTGCACATCGTCTACACCAGATAATATATGAGTACCCGAATCTCTAAAAAATTTAGTATTGTTGTAAATTGTAATATTTGTTGAGTACAACTATAATCAATTAACCTATGTGGCACTAATGTAAAGTATAAATCTTTCCATTCCTCTTCCATTGCTTGTAATTTTTTTTCTAAAGCTGTTTCTTTGGATGCGCCATCGCTGACTACTTCAAATTTTGGTACAAATTCATCCAAGTTATAATCCATAATTTTTGATAGTGAAAGATTTTGGTTAGGATGCAAGGGAAACCCAATTATTTCAGATATTTTTTCCCAGTGGCGATCTTTTAAACCTAGATTTCCTAACGTTAGAACTACAGCCATATGTTCTTTAAATGCTTCAACTGATTGTTTTACCTAATAAAAATATATATTTTTTTTTATATAATTTCATTTTCAGTTTTACTTGAAAAATACAAAAAATATTTTAAATTACCGCTAGAGCAATAGCTAAGGGCGCAGGACAATCCACAAAAGTACGTTCTAATTTTACAATGTTACGATAATACATGGTGACATCTTGTTCAATTTGTTCTGGATCGTAAGTACATATTTTAGCATTCATCCATTTTTCATAGTTCTCTAAAAACTCTGAGCAGTTGTCATAAAGTTTTTTATATGGAGCTAAAGCATCTGCCACCTTAATTAACAAATTGCATTAAGTAACTATGAACAAATTAATTTTTAAGTAACTTAACTATTTTCCTTAAGGGATATGAACTTTCTTTCCATCCAAAATGTTTTTCTTCTTCGTTAAATCCATCTATAGTACTTAAAGCACTACCTAACTTATTATCTAGACTATTCGCCTTATCCAAGTACACAGATAACAGCTCTACGTTTCCAAATTGTTTAAACTCGGCCACTTGATTCTGATAATTTTCCAATTCAATTTTAAATTTATAAATACGATTTAATAAGAAGTCTTGTAATTGTTTTGTTTTCTGTTCAATCATTTTTGTATTTTCCTCAAAAACCACATTAATTAGTTCTACCCACTGAAAAGTCTTTCCATTTTGTTTTAATTCAACACCCGTCAGTAGAGTGTAATCTGACAAAAATAATTCATAAGATAGCACCACTTTAGCTCGTTCTTCCATCTCCGGAATCATATTATTTTTTACATCTGTTATATATTTTTTTAAATTCACGAGCTCTCTAGTATTTCTGGGCGGAGTAAGGGCTACAGTTTGTAAAGTTGCATATTCTTCATTTAATCTAAAATAATGAGAACATATTTAACTTAAGAACAAAAAGTGCTATTTTATACTCATTTTTAAAATAATGATAAATCCATACATAATAATTTTTAATTATATAAGGATAAATCATCACATTCAAAAACGATTCCGAACTAAAAGGAAATTACTGAAACAATAAAAAAAATTCAAATTTATAATTTAACAATTTTAAAAACCAACTCTCTCTGCTCAAAAGGGTATCCAAACAAAAAATTATCATTGGAAAAATAATACATTCCTTTATCTGCTCAGAATCTACTATATACATTTGTAGACATTATAGAAATTACTTTTTTCCAATTGCTAAATAAGTGCTTGTCATTCGACTGACTATCATATTTTTCAATTTTTCTGCTTGCTTACATAATGCCTTTATCGTATCACTACGATGTACTTCAAATATTCCAACTTCTATTTCAGGACTAACATCGACTGGTATATCTAAAGAAATTGTATGATAATTAATCACATATTTTTTATATTCTTCGATTGTGTGTTCGGTAGATAGAAATTTATCGATTTCATCTTGAGCTTGTCCATTGATTAAATAAAGATGTTCATCTAAATCGTGTATAACTAATTCGGGCAATACCCAATAATCGTCCAAAACCAACGTTAATTTTTTACGTTGTTTATTTACTATATTCATATCTATATTAACCTATATATATTAAGAAATATAATATGATAATATGAAATGTTTAGTGTGTTTTTTTATTAAACATGTACTTGTAAAATTTTGATAGTGTAAGGATAATCCTTATATAATCTATGTTCAAGGCGTTCCAAATTCATAACCATTTCTCTGATTTGATCATAAATAGACATAATAAAATCCCGAATTTTTCGGAATGTGGGATAAAATTGTAACATCGTATTTCTATATATTAAATCTGTTACAAATCCAGGATTAGTCTAAATCAAAAATGAATGAAATAGTTAACCAAAAAAATTAATAAAAATTGTTTTATACTTTTGGGTTGCACATAACTTCCGTAAATTCATGCATTATTTTGTACACATACTCTTCATATTTTACTTTCATAATATATGCAACACAATTATAAAATGAAGTTTGCTTTTTTATGTTATCTTTCTTTGGTATGAAACGACTAAGTTTGGTCTAAAACAAAAACAATTAATATAATAATAATTAATAATTTTCAACTGAACATACAAACCACCCCACCCCTCCCACCCCAAAAAAAAACCGACAACTTTTTATAATTGTGTGGGATCGAAGCTACCCGGTCATATCGAAGTTAAAAATGTTAGCCCCCCAGGACACTTAAATGATTTTCCACCTATAATACTGTTGAAGTTAAATATAATTCAGAAAAAGTTTTCTGAATTTTTACGTTCTGAACAATTAATTCCCCTAAGATTAATATTTTTAAAATTATGCACAAACAATCATTTGAGGAATATGGATAACCGATAAATCGTTATTTTACGTTTGGATATCTAGTTGTATCCAAATTCCAAATCATATATTTCAACCGCTCATAAGGAAATTAATGTGTTAAACAAATTGTTGACAAAATCAACGCATATATTATATAATATATATATAGTATATACTATGTATAAGTATATAACCTATGTAAATATTTACTATAAATTATATTTGATATCTAAATCTTAAATCATAGTATTATAATACATTAGTATTTACTACATATAGACACCATAGACATATTACAGGTTAAATTTAAATATGGACATTTATATGTGGTAGGTACCTATTCTAAGAATTAAATATTACTTGTTGGAATAATTGCTGTACACTTTCGAACCATTTAATTCTCATAAAAACACTGGCGTCAGCAATGCATTTCCGTACATAAACCATATATTCGGGTAAAGTGTATTTCAAAATACCTCTGGCCGCCATTTCTGAATAATCAAATACTTGGGTTGGCCTGTTAATATAATGATTGACGTATATATAAATTAGTCTAAAATAATTTATAAAATTAGGTAAGTAACATTAATTTGATATCTAAATGTGTTTATTTGTAGTAAAAAAAAAAAATGTTAATTATTCTACTTTAGTTACAAGTTTGGTACTGAAATACCTATTGAGACTTAGAATAATTGTCTTGATTATTAATAATTAAATGAGATTAGAGATACTATATTATACTAACAAAGTGATTTTTCAATTAAGCACCATTATAAGCTTTATAAACCTCAAACGGTTATAAAATAATATATTTTATATAGACGTACTCAAAATTCCTGTGCCAAATTTTGATCATTTCTGCTATCAAAGGGTTGGCTTGGTGCAAGTTATCTCGAAGGAACGAAGCGGCCCGTACCATTGACTTCTTCCATAATGCACTATCCTTTCGAAGCTCTTTTCGCAATGGAGTGTCTAGTATCGGTAATTTATTATGTATCGCATACACATCGTTCAATGAATACGCTACGACAGCCTCTTTCATCGCTTTTAAATAACATTCCTGCATACAACCAATATATGTGAAAAATTGTTATTATACATTAAGAAAACTTTTTTGGGGGGGTTTTGATTCTGAACGGGGTGGATTGAAACAAATAGGTGTTGAACATAGTGTGTTTTTGTGTCTATGACATCACCTTTTGGAGCGGTAATAGGTAAAGTTTCAACCATCAACTTTAAGGGTGGTTTCTGGTGGTGAATGCCGAATTGGATCTATGGTTGGAGGGTCAAAGTAAAAATTCTTAGTAATATTCAAAGTAATCGTGAAGACTAACAGAAAATTACTGGAAAACGGGAATACATTTTACTCAGTACCTATCCCGTTTACGACAATATCGATTTTATTATTTTTATGTAACTCAAATACGAATAACGAATAACCAAATGTTTATTTTATCATTTTCTACACATGATATAATTTCAAAAATATTTTTACTTTCTATTTGAATTATTTATAAATATTTAAAGCTTGAAATTTTGTTTAGCTTTTTAAAATAATTTTTTAACAAAAAACTAAAAGTAATTATGTTATTATATAATATAATATATATTATAAACAAATTATATTTAAATAGAACTTAATAGTTACTATATAAAATAAGTATTCATATATTAATATTATATAGTAAAACTTAACATAATTAAAAATACTATTTTTATGAGTAAAATAATGTTTACCGATGTCTTTATTTGCGTAGGTTCTAATCCTAGTCACACAGTAAATAATATAGATGTTGTATAAATTATAAAATATCCTTAGAAATAGAGACTAACGCATGACAGTTTTCGCTCAGAATTTCGTATTTCATCATTGAAATCAAATGTAATAAGTAATAACTTAAGTATCTATTCTATTACAATGATAAGCTGGGAGAAACCAGTAATACCTACATAGCTCATTGACAACATGCACTCAATAGTCAATACCTACTATATGCCTATAAAATAGACAGACTTTCACTGCAGTTTCTTCTTCTTTTAATTTTTAAATGTTCAATCAATCAAAAGAAATTAAATGTTTCTACAATAGCAAATTTGAGCTAAAGTGAGACTACTTTTTTCAACGCGTTAAGACTGGTCTAAATAATCCGTTTATCTACTTCTCAACTATTAATATTACCTATAGTATTCAGTACCTATATATTATACAATACAAGCTTACGTTAAGAATTTCGTTTTTAAATTCCGGTAAAAATGGTGATTTTTGGTACTCGACTGACAATCTGCTAAGTATACCATTTACTATTCGTGGATCGATGGGAGCCAAATAATTAGTGTCAGCTTCAGCACCTTGGGTAATGAAAAAATAGTATTTCAAAAATGTGCTCTCGTCCGATACCGCATTGTCTTCTGAATCTAAATACTTAGAGTACTCATCCACTAAATTTGTGCGGAACACCTCTCGACATTCACGGTCTTTTTTCGCTTCTTTCTAACAAAAAACAAAATACAATATTAGTATAAACTCTAAGGATGGCCTCTTCGTAATGGGTAATACCCACCCATTGGCGTACATCCTCCTTGGTATTTTTTTCACTACACGTAGAATTATAAAAAATAAGACTCACCCCCCCCCCACGTTTTTGTTTTTAAATTTAAGTCGATTAAATCATAAGATTCAATCAACATAAAATTTGTTGGATTAAAATTAATTTAAATTTGACTTTCGTAACAATTAAATATTATAGCCAGTTGTCAAATAATTTTACATTTTTAAAATTATTTTTATGATAAGTAATTCAACTGTAAAAACTAAAAATAGTCATAGTATTTATTAAGATTTATATCTGCAACCAGTATGACTCCACTACTGCACTACAACCATGCTACTACGAAATACGAATTACAATAATATTATGTTGATAATAATACGTAGTTATTATACTATATTATGGCTGTATCATATATTATTATAATATTATAAATGGTTAGATTATAATATAGCCTGTAACTACTAACTATTGTAGACTGTGTTACTACTTTATTACTACTTTACTATTACTACTTTTATTATTATTATTATTTATTTTATTATTACCATACTAGCAAAAAGTGTGATACTTAAATTGAAAATTATGTCTAAGGGCGAGGAGTAAAAAATGTTATTTTACACATGTGAGTAAGCGATTCGCACATACGAAGAAGAATGTTAACATGATATTATTATCATAACTCTTTAATAAAATCTTGAATTTTGTTGTGCATAAAAAAATAACCGTAGGTACATGAAATTTTCACCGAATGTTTATATTTGCATTTTCAATATTTTGACTCTTTTTGAGCTATTTATAGGCACAAGAAAATTAACAATTGCATTCGTTTTTTTTAATTATCGGCGGTAAAAAATTTTTTCCACTCAGTCCAAAAAAAACTTGAAATTTGAATAGAAGGTCAAAAAAAGTTTTTTTTTCTTATTCGGGTAAAGTATTTGCGGGTGCTGTAAAAGTATGATAAGTTGTTAATATTTTTATATTCGCATGAGCAACTCAAAAAACAATATATAAGTAAAGGAACAGTTAAATAAAGTTATATAGGTGTATGAATTAAACACTAATATAAATAAAAAATAAACTTCCAACTTATAGTAAGCAATGTATCTAATATATTACTAAAAAATGTTGAGCAAAGCGAGTAAAAATTCTTTGGGTCAGCAAACTGATAGGTCTTCCCCCCCCCCCCCCCCACACACACAATTGAAAATAGATGTGTACAGAGGTACGCCACTGGTAATACCAAAACATTTAACACATTTTAATATTATATTGCAAAGTTGCATTTAAATGTAAACATTTAATGATTCTTTAATGTATAATATGTACTATGTAGGTACTAGGAACATAGGTGAAAATAGGGAGCTTTAGGTGCTATACAATCAGCCTCCCTCTCCTTAATAACAAATGCTATTTGTCCTTATACGCCTTATTGGCAGGATAGTACCTAATATTAATATTCAATGTTGCAATGGATCAACCATAGACAGCTGAATCATCAATAGATCATGCGATAGCGATTAGGTTAAGCAATAAGACATGTTTTGGATAAGTAAGATAGACATGATCGTTACCATTTTTATTGATTTCTCAGAAAACCCGTGGTGGACGTTTGTTTTTTTGGTTGATTTATTCTGATTTTTTTTTCGTTTTACCGGCAATGCAAAACAGTCCTCATCAGTTTTGCGTACTTTTTTAGACATTATAATTTTTTTAGCTGAACGTTTAACTGAAAATGATTAAATCCGTGATTTGTATGTACCGTTTAACACATTAAGTGCCTACGATATGTAAGTTAACATTCAACATAGTTCCTAAAGAATCAAAATACATTGCCAACTGCAATTATTTATGTATATTATAGAATATTCCAAAATGTATATTTTGTGTAGTTTGTTTGGTCGATATCACATTTTAATTTATGAAACCTAAAAAGCGTAACTAATGGATACCTACAATTCTTATACATATTATAACAATATTCTTCATTCTTGTATTTATGTCTATACATTAATCGATGCCAGCGATTCTTAAACTGTGGTCTGTCACCCAGCCCCCCCCCTCCCAGGGGGGTCCACAGCACTCATAAAATATTACATTTTAATGAAAAATTATATGTTTTCAAAATATTTATAAACATGAATGTTTTAATGTACGTGTACCTACTTATGTGATTTGTAATACACAATATGAGTATATTAAAATATTGATTATGAAAACATGACATATTTCGAAAAAAAATGTATTCGAAAGGAAATCAATGGGTTGTCCGCTATTTCTAAAAGTCTTCCATCAGAGTTCCGCGTTCAACAAAAGTTTAAGAACCGCTGGCCTCGCCATATTGAGTTGGGAATCGACGAGGGATAGACGGATAGTACAATTTTTTACCCATCGAAACACATGTTTACAATCGGCTGCACATTTCCATATCATTAACGACATTAACTAAAGCGATTGAAAATTATGTGTTCTTGTATATTGTGTGTTCTTGTTCTATGTATAGGTAGGTGCGTCAACTGTCAATGTTTTTGAAATTTGATAGTCGATAAATAACGTGTACAACATTCGATGTGCCTAAATGGCTAAATGCAATGTAATTATATCAATGAGCAATCTACACTTCTCGACTTGGACGAAATATCGTACAGTCGGCAAAAGAGTGTTTTATTATTAGTATAATTTATTAAGAACAATAGCAAAATACATTATTCATTTTTCAATTTTTGTTTTAGTATCTGATTAGTGAGAAAGTATTATTAGTAACATGTTTTCTTTCATCCAGTTAGGGAATGTAGAAATTATTTATGAATTATAAAAATGTGTAGATTGTTAAAACTTAATCCTGCAGCATTCATTTCAATTAAATGCTAAATTAAATCAAAAAATGCATTTTTCAATAAATAAAGTGTCACCATTGATTTGATAATTTTAAGTTATTTAAAAAATTAAATGTTTCCAGCTTCTATAAAATAAATACGAAAGATGTTACCTAATGCAAAAACAACCAAATTATTTTAATATTTTAACCTTTTGAGAACTGAAGTCTAAGAACGTTAGGTAAATATAATCGCTGAAGTGTGGCCAAGTATAATTATTGAAACAAGCTACCTACTAAACTAATCACCAGTTATAAATAAACTAGAAAACAACCAAAAATAATTATGAAAATGTCAGTAGTTATTAGTTATTACACAGAATAACTATTCTGCTGTTATTAGTTATTACGATATCAATAAAACATACTTATTAATCGGTTAATACCAGTCAGTTACAGTTATTTGAAAATTATGTCTATCCGTCTGGTCGTCTATGCCTCTATGGTATAATCTGTGACTGACTGTGAACTATGATGACTATTATTAGTTAATTACCCAAAGATATAATATGTATAGGTATCATTGATTATAAAATATAAATACTAGTATTCAATAATAATTCATCAATTTTACCCATTCTAAAAATAAATGAGTTAGTTCGATTGTGAGTTCTGTAAATAAACATCACTTATTCACTTGTACAAAATACAAAATATGTACAATTTTCAATGTTGACTGTTATAGTGTTATCTCTTGTCTGTTGTACACGCCACACACAGCAACGCAGAACGTATGATTTAGGCTTAACTATTAACATTATACATCCGTGGCGTAATAATCATAATATTAGTTACGTTTTAGTAATTAATATTTACGTTTTTAGTTTTGTGTTTTATTTTACTTGCAAATGGCCAAAAAGAGAACGATTGGGGCTCAAGATAGAAATTATAATTATTAAAATTAATTATTTGTTCTTATAAACATATAAGGTATTATTTACTTTGATTATTTATGTTAATATATTATAAATAACTCATAATTATATGTACTTTATAAATACAAAGATTTTTTTATAATTTGTATATATACTGGCATGTGTAAATAGTGATATATTTCTTTCTCTAATGTACTCAGAATGATGTCAACTTCAAAAAATCATAAAAACAAATTAAATACATTTATATAAATAAGATTACATAATAATAATAAAAATAATAATCAGAAGCCTTTAATGAATAAGTATTAAAAATATTTAAGTAAATAGGTTAATTAAAAAAGTGAAGTCAATATTTTTTTATGGTGGGGGAGAGGTGCGTCAAATATTGATGCCCTATGGCGTTATTGGTGGTTAGGACGGCGCTGTATATAGTGTATACTAAATACAACAATATACAACTGTCAATATTTAACTCACATTAACGATGTAAACTTGAATATGTTATACTATCTAGTGAGTAGTATTGTTGTGGTGTCCTTTTAATTTATTATTTTTCATGTTTCGCACTTGGAATGAAAGTTAATACAACTTGTATAATGCACGGTTAAAAATATATTCTGTTTCGATAGACTTTAAAATAGGATTGTAGCAATGTGTAAATGTATTATTGTAGTGTTGTTGTTGTCGAACATTTTCGTTTATCAATTGATCTGGGTGAACTTAAAAATAATGAAAGACTTGAAAGAAGTGAGAAAGATGGTCTTTTAAGTAAGATAAATGCGGGAATGCGGCTGGTAAGCGTTTTAACGTCCAGCTTAAAACACTAATATAATACTAGTTTACAGCTAGATTATAATGGTATTTTTCTTGTAGAGTGGTTAAAAATATAATATTAGTCAATTTGCATCTTTATTAAAATTATTTTAAATTCTCATCACGCAGGGTTCAGTACTTGATAAATGATAAATGAACACAAAATAGGGCCTACCGGGAAAATCCCGAATTCTCGGTGGGCCTCTACGCCACTGACGTCGTTTGTAACTAGCCAGCAAGACCGTCGTTCTTAGTGGCCAGAGTCGAATTTCGGGCACTCTTATTTTTCTAAATATCATTAATGTGGATAGATAATAATAGGCATTTCAATTTCATTTGTACTCGCTTTATATACTTGTAGGTACAGTTTTTTAGATTCTGGGTGGCACGATATGAATATAGTGATTTTACAAGAACGTAAGTTTTTTTGTGTATACGTGTACATGTTTTGTAATAGAAAAATAGCTTCGATCTTAGATTTTATTGGTGATTTCTGGCAGCATTTGAATTTAGTTGGTACTCGTACTTTTGAGTGGTCAATATATATTCTGTGTTTTTGAACTTAACGACCATCTACAGTTAGAACTTAGAATAGCTCAATAATTTAGTGTGGTATACTGGTATTAATTATTCTTTATATTTAAATATCAAATTTTATAAATCTACGAAATGGATCCTATAGATTTTTCGATAATTCTTTTTTCATATTATGTTCTTTTATGAAGCGACTGCTGACTAATAATATGATTTTACGAACTCCCAAAGCCGACCAAGACAATAAACCAATATTACCATAATAATTAGTAATTACTCATATAAAAATAAAACCATATTATTTATTTAACATAGCAAATATATAATTATATTTTTACATAGAGTATATTTTTGAAAAATCTAGATTTTTTAAATTTATTTAAAAAAATATAAATTTTTTAAATAATTACAAATATTGATATATACGTCTTGCAGTCACTCAATGCAGTGCAGATCAGCCGAGAGCTTTAAAAGTTAAACGTGTTCAACGCGGTGGTCGGAGACTTCTTGAATTCGGTATATTATGATGAAGTTGTGCTGCTTGTTTAATGTACCATTATCGGGTATTAATAAAATAAACTGCAGCCTGCAGGTAATTAAAAAATAAAATAAAATAGTTAAAAACGCAATGGTTCTATAGTAATGTAATTAATTAAAATGCAGATCCGCAGTATTGAAAATGCAGTCACCGCAGTATCTGATCAAATTTTGAAAAAGTTTAGAATAAAAACAAGTTATGGTCGTTATTTTTGATGTGAAACCCTTTAGTTTTAAAATTGAATATTTTAACTACAAAATTTGTTATTTTGACAGATGTTTTAAAAGCTACCTATTATGAAAAGATATTATAATAATTGCATTATTTTAGCCAAAAATATAATTTTAAAACACTTAATGATTTTTAATTATATTTATTATTTTGTATAAAATGTATATTTTGTCATTTTGATAAAGAGTGTCTACAATCCTTAACATAATTACTTTAGCCTTTACATTTTTATTTATAAAATGGGTGGACAAATCACTAGATTATACAATATACATAGGTATAAATCATGATTCTGTTTAGAAATTTATCCCAACTCAAACTTACAAAATATGTTGTTGTACCTAGCTATATATCAGTCATAACAATATAACTATAAAAGTATGTTTTTTATGCTGCAAATGAAGTCTTAAGATGATGAAGGCAGCGCACTGTTTGTTTTCTCTCTGACCTACGCGCAACATGCAAGACAAAACTCATTTACGCAGGATCATTTTTTTATTTATTTCAATACATTTGTCATGCGCTTCGGGTTCTGGTTGGTCCGTCAGTGAACAACGTAGAAGGATGTTCGGTGCTGAGGACCACCGACGGCCACCGAATTCGCTTGTCTTCAGGATGCCAGCCGATGTTACCCGAAGTTCCGGCTCAGACGTACACGTTGTCGTATCAACTCTGTCCGGTGTATCACTACATTTGTCATGCGCTTCGGGTTCTGATTGGTCCGTCCGTGAACAACGTAGAAGGATGTTCGGTGCTGAGGACCACCGACGGCCACCGAATTCGCTTGTCTTCAGGATGCCAGCCGATGTTACCCGAAGTTCCGGCTCAGACGTACACGTTGTCGTGTCGACTCTGTCCAATGTATCCACAACGGGGGAACTAATCGCACGGTCGTCTAACTTCATCTTATCACTCGTATCACTCAACAGCAGCTTGATAGATCCAGACGAAGTAAACATATTCAAAAAACGAATTAAGCTAGTACCTACAATGATATAGCAGACTCGCAAGTCGATGCTTCAATGTAGAGTAGCAAGTGGGTAATGACTCATATGTCATTATGTCAATAATCTTCGAGTGACAAAAATAATTTATTCTAGTCAAACCTATCGCAATTCGCAACGATGTTTTGTTGATTTTGTATCAGCCAGAAAAATATTAGGTGCTCTATTAAATATTGTTACACTTACATTAATTTTAAAAAAAACAAACGTTTTAATTATATGAGTCTTGGGTCGACCTTTATGTTTTTTTTTTTAAACAGGAATGTGGCTCTTCTGTGATCATATCAATTGTATTACACTATGGAACCTGTAGGACTGTAGGAGGAGTTAGCTGAAGAAAAGATGAAAAGGTGGCAGTGTATACGTTGGCACCTCTTTAATTTTCATGGATTATTAGCTAGATATTAAATTTACAAGCGCTTGTCCGATGTATGTAAAAGTTGAATTATATTTTGAATCCATCATATTGCGTACATATAAAATTTATATATAGGTAATGAAAATTATTATTTCTAAGTGTATAGGTATTATTGGTATCACATCTTGGTCATCATGTGGTCCGTTTCTCTATTTTTTATTAATATTATCATAAAATGTTCACAGGGAATTAAAAAGAAAAAGACCGCCCAGTTTTGTTTTACCCAAGGGCAGTTTTTTTTGTTGCAAAATCGGACGTATCATAAATTAACGCCAAATCTAGTCGACCATAAATCGGGTGATTATGTTTTAGAGATTGCGTACGCGTGCGAAAGTTCTAATAACATAATATATTATTATAATATAGTATGTGCTTCGATTTTTCCCCTCTGTCGTAACCCATTATGCGCGTTTTCCGTGATTTAAAAACGGTTCGATCGTTTTTTTTCTTTTTTGACCTGATGGCTAAAATATTCACGCGTCACAATAGTCTGTCTGTTTTAATTTACGGCCAGCAGTTCTTCCCGCTACAGCGTTTGGGCGGGAGAAAAGGGAATAAAAATTTTTCCCGTCAGCTATATATACTACATTATAATATGTTAGGTTTCTGTCGGTTGGTTTGCAATAAATTTCCCAATCAGTCACATGTGTATAAACGTCACGTAGTATTACGTATTATAAGGTCCAGGGGAAACCGGTAGTAGAAAATTAGATATCCAAACCGTCCAAACTGACCTAGTACCGATGTTTAGCTGTTTTTCAGAAAAACACAACGATACAATTAGCTAAAACGAAAGAAAAATACAACAATAAAAGAGATATATTATTATGAATATTTATTACCGTTACTATATACATTGGAATACTCGTACAATTATTCACTTGTGACATTATACACCTGATTGCACATCTATTTTTCGTGCCAACGTTTTAAATTATAAGCAGTAAAACAAATAAAATACAATACTGTAATAGATGTATGATAATAATAAGAAAAAAAAAGTTTCGGTAATTCGTTAAACGGTTTTTCTGAACCTCTTTAAATGTTTTAACATCCATGTATGGCCATATTATAAACAAGTAACTTGCACTACAATTAATCAACAATCAAAATATAATACTAGTCAGCCTCGATCTAAAAAAAGCTTACGACACTGTTTGGAGACACAGGGGGTTAAAAATCATGCAACAATACGACATTCACGGAAACATGCTCAAATTTATTAAAAACCATATTTACGATTGAACATTTCAAACCTATATTATTGTAAAATATATTATACATAATACATTATTAGTTATTACTTATTACATTCGTCGGATCTGCTCAAAATCAATAATATCGATTAGTATATTCTAAAAACCAAATAAATACCTATTTGTTATGGACAACTGGGCAAGTACAACGGTCAACAAGTCGTGGAAATCCGAACGAGTCGCGAGAGTACGAGACGCAGCCACGTAATAACAGTATAACAATAAGGTCATATTGAGACCACGAGTGTGATGATTGATGATTATGAAGCATGGCCTCATCGGAGTGCAAGGTGACGGACAAATTAATTTTGTCGTTTGCATTCCAAAACCTTGTGCAACCTTGACCACCACCTAAAAATCCGTTATGAGACATGTGGTTGTGAACCTGTACTCGGTGTCTCGACAACCCATGGCGTATAATTTTTGGATGATTGGGTATAAATAACACAGATGAGTTTGGAAAAAAAAATAAAATCAGGGTTTCTCATCCACTTGACATTTAAAATATTATAATTTATAACCAATTTATCATATTTGTTATTAAAATTTAATTGTTGGTGAACACTGCCTCATATGATGCTTCGCCACTGGTGGATCATGATTATGGTTCATCTTGTTTTTGAAATGACCATTTATAGATTCTAGTATTCCACTAAATTATATTGAAACATTTGCTGTATTGATCATAAGTTATATTTTTTCTATGAGCATCATCCATTTGCAATAAAAAAGTTAAAACAATTTAAGTTTAGTTTAACAAGTTAAGTTTTAAATTTTAGGGTAAACTTTAAGGTTGGCATTTCAATGTTGGGCTTGGGACCTTTATTTAGTTATATTTCCTATGCTCGCTAAGAGCTTACAGAAAATAGGTATCATCTTGATATTTTTTATGCATTATAATTATTGTAATGAAAAGAAATGTAATTATATGAAGTAAAAAATAAATAAATCATAATAATATACATTATACCGTAAACAATGAAAAATGTTCAAAGGAACATTTTACTCGTAACAATTTATTCATTAAGTTAAATAATATATATTCTAGACAATATTTTATGAATAAAGCCACAAGACTACCACACAAAATTCACCGATGTTGGATGAACAAAGTGTATATAAATATAATGTTTTCATAACCAAATATCTAAGTACATTTGACATCAATTCTTTATTTAATATAGAAAACACAGCAAAAAAAAAATTCATAACACTATGTTCATTTTATATAACCGATCAAACAATATTGATGTTGGTGAATTTCTAATATTTAGGAGCTGGGCTGACTGGAGGATCTGATGTAGTAGAATAAAACTGAAACAAATAATACAATGAGTTTAGTTATAAGTTTAATATTAAATTAAACCACAGCATTGGTAGTGTTTAATACAGCCTGGACACAATTCACAGCATCACCGCCAAGGCAATAGAATTGTACTGCCACCGATGCAATGTGTGAGGACCATAAAAAATTAATAAATGGTATAAAATGTAGACATTTTATTTATTTTATAAAACAGATGGATTTTTTTTTAAATAACTGTATTTTAGACATTCAATATTTTAAGGGTGGGTAAAATTGCTAAAACCTCTAGTTTTTATAGATTATTGAGAAGAACCTATCACTTCCAAAAATTCATTTTCACAGATGTTATTTCAGAACTTAACCCGGTATTTTTTTTTAATATTTTATTAATTTTAATTTTTAATTAATTTATTTATTTTTTATATTTATAATCAAATGCTTGCAATCATTTAAAATCCATTTATGTTTAAAAACAAAATAAAAAATTAATGATGTTTACTTTTTAATTTCCAAATAATTTGAATATGATATACCTAGGTTTGTAATTTATAATTGATAAAATAGTTAATTGTAGTATAAAATAGTAGTTGTATGATTAATTTCCGAAATATACTGCATATTACTGAGATAAAATTGAACATCAAAATGACAGAATGTAAAGTCTTGGATAATTAAATAGAAAAAATCAGGTGACTATAGAAAATAGATCATTTGAAAAAATATTAATACCTATGGATGAAAAAAAACGTACATTTGCATACAGCTGCAAGCTGTCCTAAAAGCATAGTTGAATTCATTGCTGTTTCTCAACTTTCATGCATTGGATAAAAATTAAATAATTAAATATATTAGTACATTAATACTACATTAATATATTAAGATATACACCCTTATTAGATTGTGTCATTTAAAAGACAAATTTGAAACCAAAAAGTTCATAAATTGATTTCTAAATTAAAAATAGGGAATTTTTAGGAATAAGTTAATATCTAAAACAATTTGTTTTAATTGCTATTCATATTTAAATTATTAATTATTTGTTTGATTATAGATTATAAAAATAGATTGTAAAATCAAAAACTGGCGGATTTTAGTCCAGCGATTACACAGAATCAGGTTATACATTATGTTTTAAGTGAGACCAATCAAGGGTTAAAAGTAAGTTTGAACATTTTATTAATAACACTATATTTCTAAAATATTAACATACTTTGTAGGTTTTTTCTTTATATGCTTCCCACGGCTCTTGATTTTTCTTTGGATGCCATGTCACTTCTGGGCTTTTCATTGCCAATCGAGTCAAATAGAAACCAGCACCAGCCATTCCAATACCCAGACAAAGAAACAATGGGATTAACTATGAAAAATAAATAAGAGTACAGTTTTACTTGATAAACTTTATATTTGACCTTCGTAATATACTACACACAACATTGAAGTATTAGAAGTAAATATTAAAATTGAACTTAATAAATTAAATTCGGTACTTACGGACTTGTGTTTTTTCAAGCTATCTAGAGTCATTCCTGGCATAACCATTTTGAATTTTTTTGGTAATACTATTAAATTATTATTAATATTATAAAGTTAACAACAAATGTTGGTACCTAAACGTAGAAATTGAAAATGAGAAAAATAGATTTTACGTATCGCCTACCAAGCCTTTGCATTGGCGCATTGCATTGAAAATCAAGCAGTGCCCTACTAGTAGGGTTAGATAACAGATGACACTGCAGTGTAGCCAAATGTACTACACTTTTGTACTTACATTATTGTAATGCAATTGACAATAATATGATTGTTAAATTGAATTTAGCTTGCTTCGTCCTCCAGTCCAAAATAATATACTGTCCCAGATATATAATTATAATACATTATATTGTATATCTGTGTATACCATGGATTATGGGGCATTGGGATTGGGGTTTGCTGGTGGCGCTGGTGCATCTTTTCCACGGACGACACTCTTATCCCACTCCTACACAAGTTTCATACTCCGGAGTCCATAGGTTGGGTTCTGTCCTCCACAGTCCACATATATTTTACACACGCAGTCACGCCATCAAGATTTTCAAAAAAAAAAATTCTATACTGTCTATCCTATATTCCTATCAATAGAGAACAGTTACGTACCGACAGGAATAGTTACGTATCTACTCGTATCAAAGTATGAGTCTGTACGAAAAATAATAGGCGGAAAAAAAGCCCGCGGAAATTAAAGTCCATTCTTGCGTCCAATTATACTGGTGTACTACTCATTTTATATTTTTACAATATTTCTTAAATTTTAATTCGAAAAATCATAATAAAATATTTAACAATAAAAGTGAATAATATTATATAATTATCATAAATAATAATAATAACTAATGGCCTATATATTTTTTTTTTTATAGTAGCTGATGTTATGCTATGATGATGAATAGTAAAAAAAAAAAATAGTAAGTCCATTGGTGTGTATCCATTCCTCCTATATTAAACTTGAGCAACGAATTAATATTATAGGCACCACCACCTGTTTTGTATTGACTTATTAAATTATTATTTTTATAGTTGTGTAATTTTTGTATAAATGTACTAGATATATACCGAAGACTGATGTTTTACCTATTAATCATTAACTACATAATAACGAAATATAAAACAATCTATAGACCTATGGTTATAAACAGTGGCGTAGCCAGGATTTTTTTTCGGGGGGGGGGGGCTGATCAATTTTTTACACAGCGGTTTAGTTTTTGATCGAATACCATAGACCATTAAAAAATTTTTTTAATTTAATTAACATTTGGGGGGGGGGGCTGCAGCCCCCTTAGCATCCCCCCTGGCTACGCTACTGGTTATAAATGATAACTTATAAAATTATAACACAATATATTATGTAGTTATACCTTATACATGTGTTCATATTTATTAAATTAAATTTTTTTGCTGGCTTCTTTTCTGTGGGATTTTTTTCCGCGATTCATGTATCGTTTGTATGTTGCACATGAACTTCTTAAACGCTCAAAATTGACCCGATAAGTATCGATACCCTCCAATTTCTCCCTAAAAAATCTTGCATTTATTTTTGTGCCATTTTCTATTCTGTAATTTCATCTCTTCTTCCAACTCCTTCTCTTTGATCCTTTTCTTAAAAAAATCCATCTTTTAATCTCAACCGTATCCTTTTGCCACACTAAAACCTGATGCTTCTCTCCACACTTCGTTCACATTTTTAAGAAACAAACTTGAACGTGAACTATAAGTTCTAGTCTTTTATGAAAGTAAACGTTTTATGTTCATTCTTCGATAAGCTAACTTTCATAGATTATTTAGTTAGGTCTATGATGGTTTACTTTTTAAAATTTTAAAATTTTTATATAGGTAGTAGGTGCCTATTCATATAATATATTATTTTCTATACATTATATTTGTACAGTAAGCATATTTAAAAAAAAAAGTTTATGTGACTTGAAAATAGGAGTTGCTCATTAGTGAGTAGTGACCTATGACATTTTACTATTATAAATCATGAAACCGTTTTCTTTTGAGACAACGGAATGGATTTTCAGCTAATATACCTACCAGAAAATATTGGAGATTTTGGTGTGAGGAGTGGTAGCGATAGTATAGATCAGGAGCGGCCAACCCAAATGATGTTAGTACAAGGTCTATGCTTGTGGGTCACTTTAGAAATACATTATAATCTCATGGGCCACATAATAAATTGTACATATAAGATTTAGACAAAACAAAAAAGTTTTGTTGTATTAATTAAAATTAACAGAGTGAATTATTATTATTTTCTTTATTATTCACAATTTATAAACATGGATAGTATAAATATAATTATTTATTTCTCAACTCGTTCACTTAGCTTTTGCAAATCTATAGAAGCGCTTTTATTTTCATATCTTTGTAAATTGATGTTGCAGGTTTTCAACTCTTAGGTTTGAGAGATTTGTTTGGTGAATTTCATTTTTGAAAAAAAAAACAATTTGCAGGTGTAAGTTGATTCAATAGCATCACAACTTTTTGTTCCAGATATCTCAGACTAGAGCATTTTATTCTGTTGACATTAATGTAACAAAAATCTATTTTTGATTTTGATGTTTTGAAAATGTGTTTTAATTCATTATCGCATTGTGAGTCAATTACATTCATTTGACGGACACTGTCATATTCCGGAATATTCGAGTTGCAAAAAATTTTTTTTACAAATGTGTGATAAATCCAAGGGCTGTAAGAATATCCAAGGCGGGATGCGGCTTGTCCTTCCCTAGCATACTGTTAGTGTCTAATTGGAGTTTGTGATTAGACCAAGGGTGTTTGACCAGAATGTTTACATTGTATTGTAATTAATAATTTGACTTAATAATAGAATGTTATTCGTTAATATTCCAACTTGGCTGTTGTATAATTTGAGAAAGAAGTCTTGTTTCAAATCAATAATCGTCTACAAGTTATTTCTTTAATTATTTTTTTTTGTCAGAGCTTGAATGTGCAACATTCATAAACATCCAGGTGTTCATTATTATACAATAAGTAGGTGTGAAGGCTTAATGTATTTCTAAGCATTTCATTAGTGAATAAAATTCTAAGTATTTTAAGAGTACAATTTTTAATCTACCTATTTATTATTGGAAAGTAATTAAAGTACACACTTACTTTCCAAAAATATTTGATAATATCAATGACAATATTTTATTTCAGTATATTATTAAACAAATTAAGTAAAGTTTAAAAATATAAATAAATTAGTATGCAAAGTTTAACAGGTAAATTTATTTTTAAATAGTGCAATTAAATAAAACAAGCATCTGTTTTTTTATATAAAGATTGTAAATTGATACATGTCTGTAAGATTAACATGACACATACTAAATATAATATAACTTATTATTTATTATGGTTAAATTACTTCATCAAAATACTAGAAGATCTAGAAAAAACCGAAGAAACTGAGCCTGAACTGTAGTTAATAGATTTGTCCATTTCGTCTGTCTGGTTACTCTTTAGTTCTTGAAGTGTGTTAGAAAGTTTGGACCAATCATCATGTCTTGGTTGAGTCATTTGCTACATTTAAAAATTAAAATACAAATTATTACAATCATTATACAAATGGGAAAAGGTTTATTAAAAAATTGTTTAAAAAAAACTGAACAAAAGCGAATGGTCCTATTTCTCATATATACATATAAGATTAGTCCACCATAGCATAGATTAAATATACTCAGTATATTTAATCTATGACCATAGAGACAAGAATATTACTATTATAATGCTCCCTCGTTTTATTTTTAGCATATTATATTTTTTTTAGAATAATAAGATTTTGATTTATTACATATATATATTTTTTTGTTTATTGAACAAAATGCTTCAACGGCAATGGTTATTAGCGTAAAGTTATTTGTTATATTGTTGGTATTTTCATTCTCAAACTATGCATGACTGTGCAATGTCCTATAACTCCAAGTTCCAAATTAATTTTTTCTCACAATTCAATGATATCACACATCATTATAATTATTGTAACTATAATTCCTACAATATCTTACAATGCTTTATTTGTATACTATAAACTTAAACCATGATTACATAGCAACCTAATTACAACAGTATATTATTATACATATTTAATTTTAATACAAACCTCTCCAACTTGAAATACGGATATTTTGCCATTCTCATCCCCAACACTTAAATGAGTTCCATTCTGAGACCACATAAGACTTTTTAATAATGGCGAGTTGTCAAGAACTGTACTAGCTGTTGGTGATTCTGTATTATTGTTAAGATTCCATAAATCTAAACGGCCAGTAACATCTATTGCAGCAAATACAGCTGGATGCACAGGAGACCAAGCTACACTGCTTACATAATCATTGTTGTTTTCAAAAGAATGAATTGGTTTGGATTCCTTTATTAACATTGAAAAATCATTTAAACATGAAAATAAAATAATTAAAATAAAATAATATCAAACCTTAATGTTCCATAACTTAATTGTCCAATCTATTGAACTTGTCAAGAATAAGTGACTAAAATCAGTGTTTCCAACAGCACAATGGGTATCAATGGCTGTAATCGGTGCTATATGGCTCTCATAACTCTCAACTACACCAGCTTTTTTTGTATGTCTACAAGCTAAAAATATTATTGAATTATACAACTGAATTTGTAAAAATGAAATGGTTTAATGCAAACCAACCAGAATATGCAGCTCCTTCTTGACTACCAAACACAAATTTGTTAACATCATCATGCAAAAAGGCAAAAGTAGATACAGACACAGATTTAGATTGCTTGGCAGTTAAATCAAGGCGTTCAACCGGTTGAGTTAACATATCTAAACTCCAGCAACACAATCGGCCATCAGTTGAAATACTAATGAGATTATGTGCATTTTGTGTACCTACAACTTGAATGCAGTACACAGGGTGCTAAAATAAAAATTATACAAAAAAAACCGTGTAAGTCAATATCTTTAATATGTTCTTTCTACCTTTCACCCATGCTCAACATAGCCTATTTGCATTAATTAAAACCAATCTTGTGTTGTTGAATTTAACATTAGAGTGAATTTACTTATTATCACACTTAAAGTTATATATGTTGTATATTAGCTTTTTACAATATATCAATTTTTTGTGATGTACTAGAATTATAAATTGTTATATATAACATGGTCATAATTTGCATGATAATCAGAATATTGTG